TCACTATTTTTCCCTGAACTCTTGCTACCTCTCTTCAACTCTTTGTCTCCCTTCCATTCTCATTGTCTTACTTTGAGTCTTATAAAAAATTTAAAAGTTACGATTTCTATTTTTAAAAGTAGCAATATCTTTCAAATTCTTTTCACTATTTTTCCTCAACTATAGCCGCTTCTGTCCAACTATTTGTCTCTTTTTTATTCTCATTGTCTTACTTTGGTTCTTTGTCCTTATTTCTAATTCTCTTCATGTGTTCTTTAAGACTTTATTTAATTTATTTATTTATAAGATCTTGATTTTACAAATGTACCAAATTTATTGTTTGATCCTTCTCAATCCCGAAACCACTAATAATGATTAAAAAATTATTATCTTCTTAAAATATTAAATATGATTACATTTAAAATTCTCGTTTTAAGCCCCAATTTGTGTTGAGCCGTCATTGTTAGTAATTATTGGATTTTTTGATGAATGTCTCGTGTGGTTACCACATGGTCAACAAAGGATACTTTAGATTACTCGTTCAAAATCTATTAGACGAAAAAATTAATTTTTTATACGTATCAATCAAAACCTTAAACCTAAACATAAACTTTTTTAATATCCATCAAATGCAACTGAGCAACAAGCTCTTCGAAGAATGTGAGGCTCCAAATTTTTGGACCCGTTACTTGATTAAATCAATCAATCGATAATAAACTATAAATAAATCTTTGAATACAGGATTAGAGCTCTAATTTCTTCAAAAAAATTTATAATTACAATTTTGATCTCTAAATACCAATAAAAATTAAAAATTATATCAACATTCGTCCGTCTTCGATTCCTCAAATATAAGCTTTGGTCCTTCCCTTTGAGATAATCATGAAAAATATTAAAAAGAGGGAAATATACAATATGATAAGAAAAAATATGCTCAATGAGAAAAAAAAAATTTGAACGATCAAATACTAAATAATTCAATTGATAGACAATCATAGATAAAAGAATTAAGAATCGAATTCGATAATTACATAACTCAATTTTTATCAAACATAACCTTATACTTGGGTCTTCTATGTGACATGACAAGTGATATTTGAACATTTAAAATTCATACTCATATTGAACTATTACACCCCTCAGGACTGTAATCACAATTGCACCCCGCAGAGCCATAATCACATTTTACCAATTATGCCCCTAAATATACTTCGTATATATACCAATCAATTCCAAAGTATTTAGCCCAACGTACAGATCAACTAATAATATTGAGAGAATTTCGTATCAATCAGAAAAATCAATAGAAATACAAAATTTCAGATAATAAAATGACACTTTTTGCAAAGAAATTTAAAAGACATAAGCATATTATATACTATCTCGTTCCTCAAATGATTTCAATATATCTGAAATTCAAAATGCCCTGAGCAAAATATTCAAATTTTATAATTATCTAAAAAAAAATTACTGATCAATTTTTGACCGTAAAATTTCATAAATTTCTCTCTCCCCCCCCCCTCTCTCTCTCTCTCTCTCTCTCTCTCTCGCTTGCTGCCTTGGTCGAATGGCCAAGTGCTTGGCTATTTATAGCCCAAGCTTTGCTTCCAACGTCACATAGGTGACCTCCTTCATTTTGCATCACATGGCCACTTGTCCATTTGTTTGGCCATATGTTTGTTTTTTGTTTTGTTTGTTTTTTGTTTTTTTTAAATTGAGCATATGTTAATTGACTCTAGCTCTTATATTTGGACACCTATATATATGTAGGTGTATATAAATATATTACACCTTTATTATATCATTAGAAGAACACATCATTTTTAATTCAATATATGACCTATATTATAGTTATTAGATCCATTTTCATATAAAGAATTCTTATTTTAAGTCTATTTATTTATTTAAAATTTTTAAAAATTACCCTTAATTATATAGAATCATAATTGATGACCTAATTAAATGATTAATTTATATACGAATCGTCACAAAGAACCTTTAGGTTTAGGGGGTGTGTGTGTGTGATTTTGTTGATTTGCTTCATTTGATAGACATGAAAGAGGTTTAGGTTTAGGGTTTCGGTTGATGGGTATAAGGAATGAGGTTCTTCATCTGACAGATTTTGAACGAATAATTTAAAATATTCTTAATTTGTTGTCTATGTGGTGAAATAGTAAGATATTCCAACTTAAAATTTAGTAGTTACTAACATAAGGGTTTAATTGTTAAAATTTTTGAGTTTAAGGTCTCAATTAACAAAAAAATTAGTTCAGTGACTTAATTGTTAAATTTTTTGAGTTAAGAAGTTTAATTGACATGAAACTTAGTTCAGATGCTTAATTAATAGCAGAGTTATAATTTAAGGATCATCTATATAATTTACTCTTATTGATTTGATAAAGAGAAGCGGACTCATGACCCATTTGATGTCCTGTTTTTCATTTTAGAGGAGAGAGAAGGGAAGAGAAATACAAAGGTAGTAGAACCCTCGTCTTAGAGCTCAACAGTTTGGATAATTATTTGGTGGACCGTTAACTTTTATTGTATGTGATGGAATAATAGAATTGATCTAATATTTTGCTGTCCTATAGTATTAAGATACATTTTTAGAATTGATAGTTAGAAAGAAATCACATAATTATAATTATTCTCCAGGCGGCGCCACTCGAGTACTATGCCCACCCTCAATTTTGTTTCTTAACATTACCTCCATGTATTAGTTATATTATTTAAGTATATTTAATTAAACATATCTAATTAATTTATTGCCATCTCAACTAGTATACACTCATATGTAAATGATTAATAATTTTTGGATACATTTTGAACAAAATGTGTTTCGAATAAATTTTGAACATATTGGGATTATTTGATAATTTTCTAAAAATTGTAAGGTTGTTTTGTTATTGTATAGAAATTAAGACCACTACATCAAAAATAAGAGTCATTTTGTAAGTGTGTTAAAAAAATTTTGGGAAAATTTCAGTCACACCCCTTGACACCTCCTCAATTATCAAAAATATTATTGACACCCTTTCAAGTTTATAGTCAAACATTACGGATATTCCCTGCCATTAAACCACAATTTATAACAAAAAAATATTCATCTAAAATACTAAAAAAGGCCCTACATAAAGCTCAAACAATCTTTTTACATAAAATTTGATCCGATTAAAATTTATTTTTCAACATATTAAAATTTGAGTTGATTAAAATTTATTTTTCCACATATTAAAATTTGATTCGAACAGATTAAATTTTATTTTTTTACCTATTAAAATTCGAGTATATTAAAGTTCTTTTTTTACGTATTAAAATTCGAGTCGAGTTGATTAAAATTTATATTTTTTACTTATTAATATTTGAGTCAATTAAAGTTTATATTTTTTATATATTAAAATTTGGGCTAATTAAAATTTAATGCAAGTTAATTAAAATTTGATTTGAGCCGATTGATTTTTAATCGACTCAAATTTTAATAAGTAAAAAAATATAATTTCTAATCGACTCAAATTTTAATACGTAAAAAATAAATTTTAATTAGCTTGAATTGAATTTTAATCTGTTCAAATTTTAATACATAAAAAAATTTAGAAAACAGAGAGGGTCTAATTGAAGATATGCCTAGAGAGAGTGTGGATGAAGTTTGTCCTCAAATATATCATGGACAATGTAGTAGAATTGTATTATAATTAACATTTTTAATCTGACAGGGGTGTCAGTAAAAATTTAAAAAATAGAGGAAATATTCTTAAAGATATGACAAATTAGAGGGTGCGATTAAAATTTTCTCAAAAATTAACTTCACACAACATAAAGTTATACAATCGTTTGGAGTTAAAAAACCAAAATCAAATATGTGAGAGGAGAATAAACCATAGCATTAGACGACTATTTTTGGTGAGAACACTACGTATGGTCAAAAAACCCATCGTGTTCAATTAATATTAAGTGTCAAATAAATTTTTTAAAAAATATTAATGTATTATCTTATTTTTATTGAACGAGAGAAGAGAATTAAAATTTTTTGAAGTGTCCACCCAAAATTTTTTTTATATGACCTCCTCCTGTGTATGAATCCAAAATTTATATAGTATTTACAAGTATTATTTATACTGTTTTCTATACTTTACCCTTTATATCAATTTATCACTTTATAATCAACAAAAAAAGACATGGATTTTGCAACAATCAAAACTTTGAAGGCTTATTTTTGCCACACCGATGAGGCTTAGCTACCTGCTAAACAACGTTAAAAAAAACTAGGTTCATTGTTGTTTAAGGATTAGTTTTTTTTAGATCTTTTTGGTTATAAGAAAATAATAAAAAGTTGACAAAATTATTTTTTTTTGAAAAAACATATTAAAAAATCATCCAACAAGTCTTTTTTTTTTTTTTCTATTAGGATGATGGCCTAGTGGTGGTCCTAGTCTAAATGTATGAACCTACAATATGTGATGTACATAATATACATATACATACACGACTTGACCATTTATAGTTGTTGTATTTAAAATGACATTTGATCATGATTAACATTAAAACTCATAATTAATCTAACAGTTGTAAGTAATTAAGTTTATAAATTAAATTCCTGTAACATTGCTCAAAATGTATGCCACATAACATTGAGAGGTGGCGTTGAAAGATCACTTGTAATGTGCCCCATACCTAAAATAGGTCCTATTATGGTATCAAAACATTATTTTGCAAAAGCATATATAACTTTTTTTTATTCAATGAAAATGTCACGTGTGTATAACTTTTTCATCAACTCATCTCTCAGGTACATCATCGACATTAAATTCAAGTGAAAGCCATTGTGAATAAGGGTGTTCCTCAAAACACATGATGACTAATTTGCTAAAAAGAGATACAAAAAGAAAATGTATTCCAGGTGTTCAAGTCGGTACTAATTTCCACAGGACTTGTCGTTTGTAGTGGCAATAATGGGGCAACCAGTTCCCCAATAATTTCCTTGCCTGGTGTACCACTGGGACACCACATGCTACTAATCAACCACCACCACACAATCGCTAGTCAGCTCACCAGTCAACTTTTGAGCTACCACTCTTCTTAACGGAGAACTTCCGATGGCTCAAAAATCTCCATGAGTTTCAATCCAATGATCTGCAACTCACATACTATCAACTATCATCTTCTTTTGTTTCTTCTTGTTGTGCAGATAATTGGGTCTCTCTTACTTCAACATTGTGAAGGAAGAGAGACAATAACAATTGACAATGAGATCAGAGACGACAATGAAACGCTAGTATCAGCTGGAGAACGATTTCGATTGGGTTTCTTCACTCCAGAAGGAGTCCATAACAAAGAGAGATTCGTCGGGATATGGTACTACAGAGATCCAAAAACAGTTGTATGGGTGGCCAACCGAAATAAAAATCTCTCCGATTCCTTTGGAGTTTTTGGCATTGCTGATGATGGCAACCTCAAGGTACTCGATAGAAATAAAATTACTTACTTTTCCACTGATCTCGAAAGCTCTTCTGCTTCTAACAGGACAGTGAAGCTGTTTGATTCTGGAAACTTGGTTTTAATTGATAATCAATCAGGAAGTGTTTTATGGCAAAGCTTTGATCACCCAACAGACACTTTTCTCCCCGGAATGAAGATGGATGACAAAAAAAAATTGACCTCATGGAAAAGTGCAAAAGACCCAGGAAGGGGAAACTTTACGTTCGAACTAGATGAAGAACTCAGCAACGGACCTATTTACCTCACCCGTAAAAGAACGACGACATACTGGAAAAGTGGAGATTCAGGTGGATTCGACAGCCCCAACGAATTGCCCTCAGGAGTGGCTTACTTGCTCTCAAATTTTAGTACGAAGTCAAAAAGGTACAAAAATCTTATAGTTACTGAACGCTCTTACAATAATACGAGGCTGTTGATGAACTCCTCTGGCGAGATACAATATTTTAATTGGAGTAACGGTAACAACTTGTGGTCGTTGATATGGTCAGAGCCTCGCGACAATTGTAGTGTATATAATTTTTGTGGCAAATTTGCTAGCTGCAACAGCCAGAATAGTACAGTGTGCAACTGTGTGGCAGGGTGTGAGCCTGTTTCACCGGAAAACTGGGTTACGGGAGATTTTGAAAGTGGGTGTACTCGGAAATCACCAACATGCAACAAAGAGGGGAGTGATATTTTTCACAACTTGATGCTGATGAAGGTGGGGAAACCGGACTCGCAGTCGTACGACGCGGCCGATAGTGATGAGGCTTGCAGAAAGGAGTGTCTTGACAATTGCCATTGCCAGGCTTATTTATATAATGGAGGCAATGATACAGGAAGGGTAAGTGATAACAGTACACATGGATGCTGGATTTGGAACACGGATCTCATCAATCTTCAGGAGGGATACCCCGACTATAACCTTTCGATCCGTGTGGCAGCTTTCGAGATAGGTATTTTCGGTTAATAGAAATCGTCTTACTTTTGACCAAAATCTTTCTTACGACTAAAGACATTGGCACTTTTTTTCTTTTTTCTTTTGTGGATTTGGGGGTCATTGAGGATAAATTTATAATAGGTGGAGGGAGAGATATTTTGGCTTTTTTGTTTTTCTTTTTTCTTTGCTGAATAATGAAGTTAGAAGAGTTGCATAATCATAAAGCTAGGCTAAAAAGTATTGAAAATAATTGGGGTATAGGCATCGGAATTTTTTTAACAATGTCAATGGTAATTTGTGAAAATAAGGGATGCATATAAAATATAAAAAGAGGGTCATTGCATATTGGATGCCCATTTTACCCATTAACATGAAGACGAAACAAACTCGACATGACTCAAACACCAAGATTATACAACTCATTATCATGAAAAATAAGTAGGTAAGGTTGTTGTTACTCACCAATAATTCATTAATCCATTCTGCTGGTATTGCAAGAAGAAAATAAATATATATATATTTTTTTCATTTCTTGATCTACTATCAGATTATTTGTTTTAGAACTAAAACTTTAATTAATATTTTTGCAACTCTGATAATAAAAAATTGTTTGTGTAAAAATATGTTGTAATATTTGAATAAGTATATTATATTATCTATAATATTGTATTAAGAAATAATACGATCTCGTCAAAAATAGTGACCTAAGCCTTCATTTTGCATCAGCCCGACCTTGTAGTATTGCCAGGGAGGATTTGGTTGATCGAAAGAAAAAACTTTTGGAGGCTACAATTTTCTGACATGATTAAAATAAAATATTGTTTAAGAAAGATTAACTAACAACACGGATGTGTCCCAAAAATTTAGGGTTAATAATATTTTTAATTTCTAAAGTATGCATATTTTATTACTTTGGTCACTAAAGTATTAATTTTATTAATTTGGCCACAAAAATATTTAATTTGTATTTAAATGATCCCCTATATAGAAAGACCGTTAAATTTTTAATAAAAATGATCACATATTGGACACTTGATATCGTTTAAAAGAATGACATGTTGACACTTCTATCAAAAAATTTAACGAATTGTCTGATTAGGGAGTAAAATGACACGAATTAAAACTTTAGAGATTAAATTGACAAAATTTATATAATTATGACCAAAACTAACCAAACATACTTTAGAGGATCTAAAAATACTATTAACCTCAAAATTTATTACATGCTGAATTTGGCTGCTACGTATGTTTTATGACTGTGTCATACTAACACTTCGGTGATCTCTATCATCTATGCAAACAATTCAATTAAGTTTAAGTTGCAGGCACATGCAAATGCCGACGTTGAACCACAATCCTGTTCTGCGGAGAGTTTTCCAGCTTCGACGTTGTTGAGTAGAGTTGAGTAATTAATTACAAACGTTTTGTGCTTTATTTTCAGGAGGCGGAAACCCTAATAACCAATCAAAAGTGCCTCAGAATAGCGAGACAGTCCCTCTGAAAAGCGTGATTATATCTACAACTCTGATTTTCCTGATCCTTCTATTATGCAGCTTTAGCTATGTTGTTTATCGACGAAAAACGGCAGCCAAAAGAAGAGGTAACTAACTAGCAGATGTTTACTATGCATATATATATACACACACACACACATACATAGATATATATATATAAATATGTGTGTGTGTGTGTTGTTCTTCCGAGTCAATTCAAAATGAATATTTTTTTACATACCTCAGAAACCAGAGAAGGCATGCGTGGGAATCCTTTAACGCACTTACATGACAGCGAACGACAAGTCAGAGAATTGATAGGTACAAGCCATTTTAAAGATGATGACAAGGAAGCCATTGATGTACCTTTTTTTGATATGGAAATCATACTAGCAGCTACAAATAACTTCTCCGATGAAAATAAACTTGGACAAGGAGGATTTGGGCCCGTTTACAAGGTAATCATCATTTCATCCACATCATTGTTCATTTTCAACTACTATGTTGGTTATATAGTTGGTCGCTCGTTGATTAGCAACTCATAAAAATTTAAACGTTAGAGAGAAGTGCAACATACATGTGACATGTCTATATAATATTTCCTTCACGTGTGGCCCCTCTTGGGTACATGATTGGTTTTTGTTTTGATTTGTGGAGTAAGGGAGGGGGGTTTAAAGTGATTTGAACTCAAAATCTCATTTTGAACTCAGATACCACATTAAACCATCAACTATTCTAAAAATTTAGGGTGTTAGAGAGGGATGTAAAATATATATTTATATATTTAACAGGGCATCTAACAGGGCATGCTTCCTGGAGGACAAGAAGTAGCTGTAAAGAGGTTGTCAATCTATTCAGGTCAGGGATTGGAGGAATTCAAGAATGAGGTTGTCTTGATTGCTAAACTTCAACACAGAAATTTAGTCAGACTATTGGGCTATTGTATCAAGGCAGAGGAAAAGATTCTACTCTACGAATATATGCGAAACAGAAGCTTAGATGCCTTTATATTTGGTCAGTTTATATGCCTAAGTTACCAACTTTTTATGCTTACAAACACTACTGTTGATAAGCAGAGACTAAACAAGGTCACTGAAATTGTGTTTCACAATGACTGTCATTGCAAGATCAAACACTTGGCATGTTATTGGGTTGGGAGAAACGCTTCGACATCATTTTGGGTATCGCTCGAGGGCTTCTTTATCTTCACCAAGATTCCAGGTTGAGGATTGTTCATAGAGATTTGAAAACAAGCAACATTTTGTTAGATGAGGAGATGAATCCCAAAATTTCCGACTTTGGCTTGGCAAGAATAGTTGGAGGTAAAGAAACAGAAGCAAATACCAACAGAGTCGTTGGAACCTAGTAAGTACAAGAGCTTTGGCATTACTGTAGAAGCAAGATTGCCCTGTTTTATCATTCATCACACAGACTTTGCCCCTTTATGGATAAAAGGCCAGTTGTGACTAATATTTAGGGGTACAAATGAACTGATTCGTTTAAAAACAACTTGGGATCGGCTCGATAAACACTTTTTAAGTTTGTTCATTTATTAAAAGAACCAACCTCAATCTCAATTTTGAAACTTGTTTAAGGAACTAGTTAAGCCTGATTATTACTGTTTGACTTGTTAGGCTCATAAACATACATTTATATGCACATATATATTATAATTTTATGTATCATATATGTAGCCTTATGTATATATATTATACATGATAATTTTTAAATGGATAGATGAGCCAAGTTTGATTTTGAACATGAGTCTAAACTTGAATTTAAGCTTGAGCTTAGTTGTGAAATCGGATGAGTTGAGCTTGAGTTTAGACACAAAATTATCGAACTAAGCTTGAAGATGTTTAGAATTCATCACAATTCCAAACCGGCTCCAAACACTCTTCATGAATGAATGAGCCGATCCCGAACAACAAAAGCTCAACTTAGCTATGTTCATTTGCACCCCTATATATTCTGATATTCTAATTTCTCTTCCCTGAGATATGGTGCAATGCAGTGGCTATATGTCTCCAGAGTATGCATTAGATGGATTGTTCTCAATTAAATCAGATGTCTTCAGTTTTGGAGTTGTTGTCCTCGAGATTATTAGTGGGAAAAGGAACACAGGATTTTATAATTCTAAAGAAGCCACGAATCTTCTAGGCTATGTAAGTATTGAAAATTTCTTCAACCTGAAAACCCTTTAGTTTTTTTTTTCATAATTTCATGTATGGTTATTAATTTCAATTTTGCACATTACCACAAACACAATACGACATGAATCCGAATATGGCACACCCATACTACATAAGTTTGGTTATTTTTAGACTTGAATAATCCATTTAGTTGGTATTACTAACACAATTTCTTTTTTTCACTTAATCTTGTGTTGTATAATTTGCTTAAAAATTGAACAATTTTTACATTACACAAACTTGAAATGACACGATTCGAAATGACACTTAGTGAACATGACGACCTGACTTGATTGACATCTCTAATTACTATGATGGTTGTCCCAGGCTTGGAGATTGTGGAAGGAAGAGAGGGCAATGGACTTGGTGGACCAGACACTCCTGGAATCATGCAGTAGAAGTGAAGTTTTGAAGTGCATAAATGTTGGGCTCTTGTGTGTGCAAGAAGATCCCAGTGATCGTCCCACCATGACAAATGTAGTGTTAATGCTCGGCGGTGAAACTGCAACTCTTCTGAACCCTAAACAACCGGCTTTTGTAGCAAGAAAACGCCTTTCCAGCACACCTTCTTCTTCCTCAAGTAAACAAGAAGCACAGTCCCATAATGAGTTGACATTTTCTCTTGGAGAAGGTCGATAATGGTGTTCTTGATTTATGTTCTTCTTTATCCAGGCTAAAACAGTTTTACTGGCCAAGTTTTGACAATTAGGCAGGCACATTTAGCTATTCAGTTTAATATACGCTGATAATAATTACATACCCAATTTTTTTTTCCTTTGTTTCTGTTTGTAGAAAGAAAGATCTAGTTATGCATTATCTTCCAAATCCACCTCTTCAAGATAATTCGGATCCTGGTTGAATGAAAATGTGAGGCTGATATGATAGAAGTCTCAGGTAACCGAGCCGAGCTTATTGGGGTCGGTTCGTGTTTTAAACGAGCTAAGTTGAAACAATTTTTTAAATTTGTTTAGAAACAAGAGCTTAAAAGGCTAAACTCGAATTTGACTCATTTTTAAGACGAATTAAACTTGAATAATTTTTTATGAGCTCGATTATTAGCCCTACCCACACAGTAACACCTTGATGGATTCCACCCTTGTAAATGGTCTTGACCCTTTCAAGCATCACTCATAGCACTCCCCATGGTTCAAATTAAGATGGCTGTAGTCTTTGGTCCTACTTTTTGAGATCGACCGCAGTTCTGCATAAATAGCCCTTTATAATAGTCTTATTTTTTAATCCTTTTCGATGGTGGGTTTTTTTTTTTTTTTGGGGGGGGGGGGGGAGAGATGAAGATTAGTAAACCAGGAAAAAGAAACATAATTAAAAGAAAAACATAAAATAAACAAAAAAAAAAATTGAATAAGAGATTCAATTACACTGATGCTCTATTTTCTAACAATTGCAGGTGCCGTCAATTTAATATATTCAAAATAAAAATGAAAATATTGCTCAACGAGGATATCTCTTTCTAATACTCCCCAATGCTTCTTCACAGGCTTACAGACTTTGAAACTAACGAATTCCATCATCGAGGCCTTGGCGTGCTAATTGTCATATCATTGTTGGAACAGCTACCGACAGCCTGTGAAGAAGTAGTAGTAGTAGTGACACTCCTGTGAGTGGAAAAAGCAGGTTCTTTGGGTGAAGGAATTGATGAAACTTCATTGCTCAGCCTGAGAACTACACCAGACATTGTTGGTCGATCGGTTGAAAGTTCCTGAACACAAAGAAGCCCCACATTGATGCACTTCACAGCCTCCTGAAGTTGGCAGGTACTCCTGATCGATGGATCGATTACCTCAGAACAACTCCCTTCTTTCCAATTTTCCCATGCCTAAGAAAGGATTAAACCAAAAGTTTATAACTCATAATTTTGTATATACAAATTAATCAACATGACTGAAAAACATTAAGGATGCTAACCCATCCTAAAAGGGTCAGAGAGAGTTCAGTGCGATGGAAATATGTGTTCTTTATACCGCTTAAATCTCTAACAATAAGACCCCGAAGCTGAATACATCAGATTTATCAGAAAATTGCCCATACAATGCATATTCAGGCGGCATGTAGCCACTACACCACCAAGTAACAATAATTGATGTTATAGCAGCAGCAGTAGTAACATAAGCTTATCTTGTGATAATTTATGTACTTATTACTTACTATGTACCAACCACTCGGTTGGTATCAGCATTGGTTTGATTTAGCCCAAAAATCGGTGTCATTCTAAAGTCTGAAATTTTGGGGGTCATTGCTTCATCCAGTAGAATATTACTTGCTTTCAAGTCCCTGTGAATGACTTTCAACCTAGAATACTTGTGAAGATAAAGAAGTCCTTGAGCAATTCCTTCTATAATCTGGAAGCGTTTATTTCAATCCAGATTTGTTTGCTCAGAAGCACCTGATAGAGAACAAATATTCAGTGGACAATCAGGAATTGGAAAGCAGAACCTTCACACTTCAGGGAAATGTACTATGAATACCTCAAAATAATAGTTTTAAGAATGTTTTGAGGAAATAAACAAGTACCAAATAATTTGTCCCGGCTTTGATTGGGCATGTCCTCGTAGATTAATATCTTTTCCTCCCCTTCAACGCATCACCCCAAGAGCTTGACAAGATTTGTTTGTTGAAGTCTGGCAATAAGTTTCAACTCATTCATGAACTCCTCAAGTACTTGTAATGATCTCTTCGAGAGCCTCTTAATGGCTACTTCGTGAATTTCAGGCAAAAACCCCTGGAAGAAAGATGATTTGTGGGCATCTAAAACCCAATCAAATTGAAACTCATTTTACAGTCAAATTGAAACGTTTACCTTATAAACAGGACCAAACCCTCCCTCTCCAAGCTTCTTTGCTTCAGAAAAGTTGTCTGTAGCTGCTAATACATTCTTTAAATTGAATGACAATAGCTCTGTGTCATTGTGCCCAACTCCATCTGTCATAAACCTTGTAGAAAGCCCAACTATATTTCCAAAGGTCCTTTCTGTATGGATAATGAGTCATCAGTAAAGCAGAACCATGCATGAAGCATCTTTTTAGTGTGCTTATAACTTTTGGTTGTCCAAGAGAGAGAGAGAGAGAGAGAGAGAGAGAGGGGGTGGGGGTGGGGTGGGGCGTGCCTTGCCTTCTCAATCTTTTGAACCACAAGACATAGCCAAAAACAATAATAAGAAGCAATCCTATAGAAAGGGCTGCTGCAACTGCAATCAGAATTCTAGTTTAGTAGAGAAATATATGTGAGTCAAAAGGGATACTCAAATTAAGAGTAGAGCCCCGTATATATATCCAAAAATAATACAGAGTGACTTAAACATCCTTGTAGTTTAGGCAAAATATAAAAATCATAGTAAGGGTAAAAAAGGGAAAAGAAATCCTAATAAACTAGACTATCTATACTCCAACACTCCCCCTCAAGCTAGGCGCAAAAATGTCAACTAAGCCAAGCTTGACAACGGAGTCCCGAAGAATAGACAGAGTGACAGGTTTGGTAAAAACATCCGCAACTTGATCACTGGTCCCCACAAACGATGGAGTAACAAGACCACTGTTGACCTTCTCCCGAAGAAAGTGAACATCGATCTCTATATGCTTCGTTCTCTCATGTAGTACAGAGTCAGAAGCGAGCTGAATAGCAGATTGATTATCACAATATAATGTGGATGGAGAGGTCACTGAAAAACCCAACTCGTCAAGAATCGATCGTAGCCAGATAATCTCACACGTGCCAAGTGCCAAGTGCCAATGCCGATACTCTGCCTCTGCGGACGAGGGGAAACAACTGCCTGCTTCTTGCTCTTCCAAGAGATAAGATGAGTCCCTCGAAAAGCACAGAAACCCGTAGTAGATCGACCATCACATGCTCCCCCATAATCTGAATCTGAATAACAGGCTAGAGAACCGGTCTGAGATCCTGATGCATAAAACAACCCAAGTCCAGGACAAGACTTGAGGTACCGAAGAATATGATAAACTGCATCAAGATGAGGCTGACATGGCCTATGCATGAACTGACTAACTCGGCTGACTGCGAATGAAATGTCCGGCCTAGTATTGGCTAAGTAGATAAGTCTACCTACCAATCTTTGATAAACTGTCGGATCTTTCAACTCCTCACCTTCAATAGTAAGCTTCAGGTTTAGAATCATGGGTGATGATGCCGGTTTGCACCCCAACATCCCAGTGTCTGAAAGAAGATCCAAAACATACTTTCTCTGAGAAAGAACAATACCTCTGCTTCTACGGGCAACCTCAATCCCAAGAAAGTATCACATAAATCCAAAGTCCTTCACATCGAAGGCCTTCCCAAGGTCTATCTTGACCTGCGCAGTCCCAGAAACATCATCACCAGTAATAATAATATCATCAACATATACCAGAAGGACGACACACTGTCCAGAAGTATTCCGTCGAATAAAGCAGGTATGATCAGAATGACACCTGGTGAACCCCAATCGTACGACTACATCACTGAAGCGAGAGAACCAGGCTCGTGGCGACTGTTTCAGTCCATAAAGAGACTTATGCAGTCGACATACCTTTCCAGCATACTCCCCCTCACCACGAAAGCCCGGTGGTGTATCCATATAAATAATCTCGTCCAGATCACCGTGAAGAAACGCATTCTTCACATCTAATTGATGAAGAGGCCAAGAGTACTCCGCAGCCAGAGAAATAATCAACCCAACAGTAGTCAATTTTGCCACGGGGACAAATGTAGCACCAAAATCACGACCTGGTACCTGAGTAAAGCCCTTCGCCACAAGTCTAGCCTTGTAACGATCAATAGTACCATACGCAAGAAACTTTAGGGTGTAAACCCAGCGACAGCCAACAGGCTTCACCCCTGAAGGTAAGGAGACAAGATCCCATGTATGATTACGCTGAAGAGCGTCCATCTCTGTCTGCATGACAAGAACCCACTGGGGCTCCCGCATAGCTTCCGAAATAGAGCGAGGAACCGGCGTATCTGATAAGGCCATAGTATAAGCTCGAAATGTGGGAGACAGATCACCATAAGAAACATAAGCAGAGATCGGATATAAAATCTTGGCGGTCCAACCATATCGATCAACTGGACGGCGATCACGCCTTGGATAACGACGCCCTAAATCACCATCCTCTACTGATAATGTCTTATCAGGTAAAGTAACTGGCTCAGCACCTGCAATCTCATCAGTACTAACAACAGGTGCATCAATATGCTCAACAAACTGAGAAGTATTACCTGCATCGCCTGAGGTAGAGGGGATATCAGCAGGGTGATGAGAGCGAGGACGACGAACATACACCTGCAAAGGAAGAGAGACTGGTAACTCTGTACTGACAGGGATGAGTGACTCCTTTGGAGGAAAAATGGATGACCCTGTAGGGATAGTGATCAATGACTCTGACTCTTGTGGTAATGGAAAATCAAAGGGAGTATCATCAACTGGAGGGGTAGACAAAAGACTGAAAGGAAAATAAGGAATATGCTCAAGAAAGGTAACATCTAGACTGTGATACATATGACGCCTAATAGGATCATAACATCGATACCCCTTAGATTGATGACAATAGCCCACAAAGATACAACGAATCGCTTTATCATCAAGTTTATGACGAGTAGGAGACCGATCCTAAACAAAACATGTGCATCCAAAAACACGAGGGGGGACCGAAAAAGTGTCCGCTCAGGAAATAAGACCTGTAAGGGAGCCTTATGCTGAAGAACACGACTCGGCGTACGATTGCACAAAAAGGTAGAAGTCAAAACAGCAAAATGCCAATAAGATTTTGGTACCCTCATGCCTCTAAGCAGACAACGTACCATCCCTATCAAACTCCTATTTTTCCTTTCAGCAACACCATTTTGCTCAGGAGTATATGGACAAGTGAGTTGCTGAAGAATACCCTGAGAAGAAAGGTGAGACACTAAAGCATCAGACACATATTCTTTGGCATTATCCGAACGAAGAGCACGAACAATGACATCGAATTGTGTCTTAATCATCTGTAAAAACTGAGTGATTATAGGGAGTACATCAGATTTCCTATGCAAAAGGTAGACCCAAGTACAACGGGTATGATCATCTATAAATGTCACATAATATTTGACACCTGACAGAGCAGTAACGGGAGAGGGTCCCCAAATATCAGAGTGTATTAGGTCAAATGGCTTGGGTGACTGGTGCATGCGAGGAATATAATTGGCCCTAACATGTTTCGATAGGGAACATATAACGCAATCAAGTTTACCACCAACACAAGCATTACTCAAAGCAGGAAACAACATACATAAATATTTAAAATTTGTATGTCCAAAACGGTCATGCCACAATTGAACAGTTTGTGACGAAAAATCATAACGACAACTACTAGGTAAAATACTAGCATGCAAGCTAGGAACAGAAAAAGACAAAGCAGGTGCAGGTGAAGGAATTGGTGAAATTGGAGATGGATTGCCAAGATAATACAGTCCATCTTTCTCATGTCCCTTGATAATAATCCTCCTGGTACTCAGGTCCTGCAAATAACACGAATCAGATAAGAATACAACTGCACAGTGAAAATCTCTGACTAACTGATGTACAGATAATAGATTCATGGCCAACTTTGGCGCATGAAAAACCGAATGTAATGTAAGGCCATCTGGGAGACGGACTGTACCCCTACTAACAATAGGGGCATGTATTCCATCTGCTAACTGAACCTGTGTATGTAACGACTCGTCAAAAGTGGTGAAGTGGTGGGCCTCACCTGTCATGTGACCATTCGCACCTGAGTCCAACATCCAAAGGGAGATGAACTGGCACAAGCGTGAAAGGCACGAGATATACCTGTAGTGGTGACAGCAGCAGACATAAGTATATCTAATCGGGAAGTGATAGCATCCATATCACTTTGCCACGGAGGAGTAGCAGCAGGAGTGGCGGTAGTGGGCGGTGGTACCTCAGCAATAGCAACAGTACAGCTGCGAGAAGGTGGCTTAAGCTCTGGATGGAGCTTCCAGCAAGTAGCCCTGAGATGTTCTGGTCGGCCACAATAATCACATTGACGGGAATCCCCCCGTCTGCGCTGATCTGGGGCACCCTAACGGCGCTGGTCTGAGCGTTGCCCATCCCTGACTGAGGATCCTGAACGGGACCCTACAGCAGTTGCAAGAGTCATCTAGTCAATCGAAGGAGTTAAAGCTGCAACTGAAAGTGATGCAATACGGACTCGATGCTCATGCTGCTCAATCATCCCATACACTTCATAAAGAGAAGGAAGTGTCAACATCGACAAGATCTGAGAACGAGGTCCCTCAAACTCATCACGAAGCCCCATAAGGAACTTGTGAATCCTATCCTCCTGCTCTCGAGTATGCAAGAATGCTGCTCCCTCGGGCTCTATCTTCGGAATAGCAGCAAGAGGACGTAGAGTCTCATACTCAAGCCAGCGCTGGGTCAAATAGCCATAATAATCCTGAACGGTCATATCTCCCTGTTGAGCATATGAGAGCTCCTGAGAAAGCTCATAAACACGAACTCCCCGTCCTGACTGAGAATACATCTCTGATAATGCGCTCCATAGCTTCGGAACAGAGCTATGAAACTGGTGGAACCTGCAAACAGAGGGCTCCATTGAGCCAAATAACCATCCAAAAATGGCACAGTTTTTAGAGAACCACGCAGAATATCCAGGGTCGGCATCAGCTGGCTTTGGGTGAGATCCCGTCAGCCAACCAAGCTTCCCTACACGGCCTAAGAAAAGCTGGAATGAGCGTGACCACTCAGCGAAGTTACGACCATTCAACAATTGTGCCGTAACTTTTTGAGAGATCATGCCCGGTAGTGCTGGTAATGCAACTGTGCTAGTAGGCACTGTATACTGGTCAAACATAAAAGTGGAAGTACCCATAGATGTCTCAACGGTAGAGGTGTCAACAGTAGGGTTCTCAAGTCCCTCAGTAGTAGCCATATCAACAACAATACTAGGGCACCCGTGACAGAAAAATAACTCTAAGATAAATAGAGGAATAAAATAAGGGAGAACAATATACCTTCAGTCGAACAGTAGCGACAAATAAAGAATGTCAAAAAAAAAAAAAAAGGCTCCCAAATAATCAGGTCACGGTGCCCAGAAATCCAAAATATATAAATAAGTGATCTACTGCATCAAGGGTAGATCATCGGATAAGAGGATTCATCCCTTCTTTAAAAAATCCTAGATACACTGTGATGTTGGCGGACTTGGGTATGGATTTAATATGTCGGTGGGGTATATGTTGTTTCGGCTGGGTAGTGTGATGGAGACAGTCGGTAGTGGGTAGAAGTAGGCAGTGTGTGGTATATGTTGGTTTGGGATTGGACTGGTTTGGGACTACACTGGATTGGACTGAGTTTGGGACTGGACTACTGGACTGACTTTTTTTTTTTCCTGGTCTGAGTTTATTTGTTCTCTTGGATTGCTTTGGCAAATTGGTCTGTCGGTGAAGGTAGTGGACTGGTTTGATTTTGGGCAGACTAGTCAAAGTAGTGGACTGGTTTGTGGTTTTGTTTTTGCAATCCTACGGTGGTTGTTTGGACTGGTCGGTATGGGCAGTCGGTGAGGTTGTTGTTGGTTGTTTTGCTTTTGCAATCCTACGGTGGTTGTTTGGACTGGTCGGTATGGGCAGTCGGTGGCTTTCGGCGGTTGTTTTTGGCTAGGTAGTCGGTGACTTGCGCTGGTTGCGATGATTAGTTTTGGTTTGCTGAGTTGTCAGTGAAGCTGTGATGGTGGCTGGGCTGTGATTGCTGTAGTTGCGCAGTGGTGGTGGTGTGGCTGGTTTGTGATGGCGGCAAGTTGCAATGAGGTATTGAAGGCTAGGGTTATGGTTAGAGTTGGGTTAGGGTTAGGGTTTTTGCTCTGATACCAAGTAGAGAAATATATGTGAGTCAAAAGGGATACTCAAATTAAGAGTAGAGCCCCGTATATATATCCAAAAATAATACAGAGTGACTTAAACATCCTTGTAGTTTAGGCAAAATATAAAAATCATAGTAAGGGTAAAAAAGGGAAAAGAAATCCTAATAAACTAGACTATCTATACTCCAACAAGTTTTATTGCTTGAATTGTTTTTTCTACCACCTGCATTTACCGAGGACTCAGTCAAGTGGACTTTAACTACGGGGGAAATATTCTCTGCTAATTCTGCCTGGGAACATATCAGGAGTGAAGGTCCAGCCGTGCAATGGTATAAACTTGTTTGGTATGGTAAAGCTATCCCTAGAATGGCCTTCATCCTCTGGCTTACTATTACATGTAAGCTGAGCACCAAGGACATAATTCAAAGATTTGCAGCTCAAATTGACCCACAATGTGTTCTATGTAGGAGAGCTGAAGAAACACACAACCATTTGTTTTTTGAATGTATTTTCTCTAATAGGGTTTGGAATGGTGTTATGCTCCAGAGCAACCAGCAATGGTAGCAGAGACAATTGACTGATTCAATTTCTTGGGCTGCTCAACAGTGGAGAGGAAAATCAATGAAGACAACTATTTTAAAGATTTATCTTTCTGTTATTGTCTATTCTCTGTGGACTGAGAGGAATGGGAGAATTTTTAAAAAGCAGAGCAAAGACCCAAACTCTCTTATTCAATCCATCAAGCATACCATTAGAGAAAGACTCATATCCTTGAAATTCAAGAGAACTCAACAAAATGCAATTCTGCTGCAGCAAGGGAACCTTCCTGAAGCTTGTTTGAGCTGAGCTATCTTGGGCTGCCCACTGTTACAAGGTGCTGTGTCTTCTTCTCTTTGTTGTAGTGTAGTTGTGCCTTCTTTCCACAATTGCAGTGCTCCACTGCACTTCTCTGTGCTCTCCATGGTCTTTTCGATTTTCTGGTCATTTGGTGAGGATTTTTGTCTCTTTTCTGGGCTGTCCTGTTGTTTTCTGCTGGGCTGTTTTGCCTTGGATGTGCTACTGCGTTGGTTGCTTATGCCCATGGCCTGTCCCCTTTGATGGATGTTGTTGCATTGAGTTATCCTGTGTGCTTGGGGCGTGATGTGTGTGCTTGGTACTGCTAGCTTGTGCGTTCTTCCCCCAGCTGCTCTGTTTTTGGGTTGTTGTTGTTTGGGATGTTGTTGTTGTATTGCATTTGCTCCTAGCTCTTGTGTTTTGTATTTTAGGGGAAGTGCTGGCCCAAGGTCTACACTTCCTTCAAAATTCAGTTCACTGGTATCAGTTTTTGTGTTGTTCTACAGGCTTTGTATTACTGTTGGATGTATATTTGCAGTGGTGTTATGATATATATTTTTACTTTCCGAAAAAAAAAAACATATGAAGCAAATTAAATTATCACATGGACATCGAGGGAACAATGCACTTAACCGACAAATCCCATCCAAACCATTTCTTGAAATAATGCATACAAACAGGAAAAAAAATATAAATATACCTATTTCAGAGACATGAAGGTGAACATAGAGATCTTGGCCAGTGATGTAGTTATGTGTAAGATCCATCAAATCTCCAAACCAATTCAAGCAATTCACTGTTGGTTCTCCACTCACATTAGCATATGCATAAGCTGTACAAGAGCAATTGCTTCGGCATTGAAATTCACATTCACTAACACTCATATTCCCTAACGAGATTGAACCATCCGGAAGTTTCATCCTTTCCAACTTCCAATTTTGACCATTGAATCTTGTTACAAGTCACGCTCAAATCTTTTATTTTTGATTAAATTGCATCCAAGCAGATAAACTCTCTTAGGTATGAACAATTACATGAGTACTGCTGTTGGGACCTTAAAATCTGATATAATTTGCTGACATAATAACGTAGCTTCACTATAACCTTTGGATTGACTGCGGGTTTCATCAAACATTCGAACTTGGTATTAATCCAGTAGTTCCAATGAATCCACATCATTATGTCAACAAATTATGTCAAATTTTTATGTCTCAATAGCATTACTCTTACATTAATATCTTCTATCCATGTCAATAACATATTCTTGCCTAGGGGTGTCAATATCAAATGTGTCAGGTTAAACTGTTACGTGTTATAATAAACGGGTGAAAAATATGTAAAACTGTACACGACGCGTTTAATAAATAGGTGAAAAATCTCAGCACAAACACAATCTGTTTAATAAATGAGTAACTCAACACTACTGTTTTAACCCGTTTAATTTTAAAAAAAATTATATTAACAAATTTTAATACTCTACTTTTTTACTTCCAACTATATTTACCTCAAAAAAGAGGAAAAGTTTGAGCCAAATCTTACATAAAAATTAAACTTGAAAACTAAAAAAAGAGGCAAGTGACCACTGCCTTTTATAGGTAAGTCAACCCTCCCCATCTCCTCTTATTTGTAGATGTGGGACAAAAAACAAAAGATATTAGTTTACCTTTGTCTTTGAACTCACAACACCTATGCTTGGATTGGCTTGACAAACAGCCTCTAAAACATAGTTTTTAAAACTGGCTTCAACCCGACAAAATGACTGGGTCAATGGGTCACTGGTTCAACCGTAAGATCATTGGTCCAACTGGTCATATAATAAAAAAATAAATAATAAGTATTATAAATATATTAAAATAGCCATAAAAATTAAATGAGTCCCAATTTTATATTAATTTTGATTATTTGATATGAGATCAATGCACACGGTACACTAAAAGGCAGATAAAAAAGCAAAGAGCAAATAATTTCATTGATCTCACATCGGAACTGTAACACCCCAATTCCACTACACTATTATTATAAAAATAAAATTTAGGCAATCCTGCTATTAATAAAACATTATAACATGACACTTAAAGAAAACTCATCCTAGAAATATTTATCTTAGAATCATTTTTTTAAGCGCGCGGCACATAGGCCTACTACCATTTAGAATATACATATCCTAAAAATATTTACAAGTGTTGCTTATGGGACAAAATCAAAATATTGACATCATATACAACCCAAAATTTTTTTTTTTTTTGTTTTTTTTAGAAGACATAAGAAACTGATATGAGCCTTTCTTGACACTCCTGACTAGACTGCTAGCTGCGACAGTGGACTGCAAGCTTGTGTACAGTTTACCTGAAAATATTTCAAGCAAATTTCAGTGAGTTCTCATTAATGATTTCAGAGATAGAACAAAGAAAGTAATGTGATGTCCTTGCTCATTTATGAAATTTTAATATTCGCATTTCCATATCTTTTCTCAAAATTGTATTTCATTGCGCTACGATTTCATACAGAAATAATCCTCTTGCCACCCAGGCGACAAAACACCACACAATAATATTCGTGGTTTCATAACTTTTCTCGAAATTCTATTTCATTGTGCTACTGTTTCACACAGAAATAACCATCTTGTCACCTAGGCGACAAAATACCACACAAGTAAATCATTATATCAGTATACGATCGTCACTCAGACAATTTAACAACATATATCCATTTCTCGATATTCTATTTTTTTTGAACAACTCACATTACATCAAAAATTTAGCGTTCGTCACTTAGACGAAATTAGTTTTTAACTTATCTCACACAAGGACAAATTTGAACACTTGGGTCACGTTTAGTCACGTAGACATCGCAGTCTAACAATTCGCATTCGCCCCCTTTGAAGTCTTCACTACACAAATAAATTACGTCACATAGACATCCGACCTTTTATCGTCTCAACCATTTGATTTTTCTTTCCGTTTGTCACACAGACAACTAAACCATAATATTATAATCTGTCACGAAGACATTATATTCTTATTGTAACATTAGAACACTTAAGCCATTTATTCATAATAGAACTCATAAGTTAGAAAGCCACATAGAAATAAATAAATCTTTACATATAGATAAAACCAAATGTTAGCGTACATACGTACCTTGCCGAAAATTTATCATGTTGATGATTCGTCTACCGGAATTTTTTGAGCAGCGTTCTTTACGGGGCTTGTCCCTAAACCTACCACCCATTATTCAAAAACTCATTCGAGTATGAATAAATAATGCCGCTTTACTCGAATTGGTTTACACAAAGCCAATTGCTTAATTTAATCAATCCACATTCAATCACTCCTCCACATCTAGTAATATCAATTACTTGAAAAACATAAATAAATAAACTAGTAGTTATAATCAATTCGAGTCACATGAAAGTAATCCATTCATAGCTAGTAAGATTACCAATTCGAAGCCATGACATCCAAAGTAAATATTTCTCATAAAATGATAGAAATCAAAATGTAGTTGAGTCTACATAATTTCCCAATAAAATCATAAAATTGCATGAAAATTTCATACCCATAAATTTCATGAAAATTCAAGAACAATGAACAAAAATTCTAGGGCAAAATCCAGTTTACCCCCCTTGTGGTTTGGGTATTTTGCACATCACCTTCTTGTGGTTCAAAAATCAGCACATAGCCCCCTTGTGTTTTTAGACTAAAGTGCGACCGTTATTATTTCTGTCAAAAGTAACATAAATTATAACACACGCGTTAGATTTGCAAGTATGGATGTAAAAAATTTAAGTCAAAGTCAAAACTCAATCTAAAAGCTCAAATATACCCTTGTGATCTTTTAAAAAGACTTTTTTTTTTAATTTTCTTATACATTTTACTGTTAGAAAAAAAAATTCCTCATTTCTCATTTCCCTTTCCCCTTTTCCCGTCTTTGTGCCTCTCCATCTCTCGCCTCTCGCCTCCTCCCTCCTCCTCCTCCTCCTCCTCTCTCTCTCTCTCTTGTAATTGTTCTTGCGATTTTTGGTGGGGATGGTGGAGTTTTTCAGTGGGTTTGGGGGTGAGTTTCAGGGGCTTTTAGGGGTGGGTTTTAGGGGCTGTTGGGAATGGGTTTTTAGGGGGGTGTTGGGTGGGTTTCAAGGGGATGTTGGGAGTGGATTTTTGGTGGGGTTTGGGGGTGTTGGGTTGTTGTTGGTGGGGGTGGGTTTTCGGTATGGGTGGTTGGTGGTGGGTGGTGAATTGCAAGGAGAGCCTGGGAAGAGGGGGTTTGAGCAGAGAGGAGAGGGTAGTGACATAATTGAGTCAGAGAGAGAGAGTGGGAGAGAGGTAACAAGGTGTATAGTGAGAGAAAATCAAAACTCTAGTTTAAGCTTGAAACTTAAATTTTTGGGTATTCAAAATTTCGAGTTTCGGAGGTGACAGAGGGCCTAATCTACCATTTTTAGAGTCAAGGAATCCATTTTTGAAGTTAGAATCGAGAAAAAAATGAGGTTTGGTAGGTGAAAAATTAAATTAAAAATCGTGACAATTTTTAAAAATGATGAACCCGTCATTTTGGAGCTCGATTTTCACTTACCTTGTGCATGATTTGGACAAACTAAATACATGGTTGGAAAGAGGGTAGAAAGAAGTTAAATTTAGACATTTGAATCACACAAAAAGGTTGAGAAACGAGGGAGAAATTAAGGGTCAAAGTTAGCTCAAATGTTAAAAAAAATCTAGTATATACATAACTTGTCAAAATGAGTTTGTGATCATTTTTGAGCTTAAATTCGTTGGTCATGGGGGTTATTTAAGGAAACAAGTCCGTGGGGTTTAAAACTAGGGTGAGAGTGGAGGATATTGACATTGGTTTGAAGAAGTTTGGTACTTTATGAAGAGAGAGAAAAACTTGTAAAGTTGGGTGGTTGGTTGATTTTTCAGAAAATTAGGCTACAGTTGAGAGGAAGGAAGAAGATGATGAATAGTTGAGGGAACTAAAGTCATTTTATCACTTCTGTTTACGATGTTAATTGTGCATATCGGTCCAAAAACATAAGAGGGTAATGTACTGATTTCTAAATCATAAGGGGTCATGTGCAAAATACCCAAACCACAAGGGAATAAATTGGATTTTGCCCAAAATTTTAATTATAAATACCCAATATAATCATACAAGTGTATGGAGATTCCATACCCATGAATTTCATGAAAATTCAAGAACAAGTAAAAAAAATTCTAAGTACCACCACACTTCAATTTTTATTTTTTTTACTAATTTAATTTACACACCCACATAAATATCAAGATGTAACTTTCATGCATTAATCAAACTTCAAACCCAACATCATACATCCATATACAACATCTAACCACATACAAAATATCATCTTTGAAACACATGCAACACTCAAAATGCCTAAATAAAAATAGGATTTTTCTACATATTAGAAGAAAGAAAATGAATCATAATTCTTACCTTGTACTCACAATTTATTTATTTATTTTTTCTTCTTTTCTTCTCTTTTCTTTTCTTTTGTTTCTTCTTTTTCCCTTGGTTTTATTCTTCTGTCCCTCTTTGTTCTTGCTCTAGCCGAATATCCCAAAGTGCAATCATGACTTTTTTTTATATTATATTTTATATTTATTTTATATATATATATATATATACATACATACATACATATATTTATTATATTATGACCCATATTTATAATATTCATACATATATACAATTTTATGTATATATTTATAATATAGATTCAAATTATTAACAATCTATTAAATTCCGTCTCTCGGACCCTTAACCACTCATTGTATATACTAATACATTTTATTCTATTACCATTTGTTTTTATAACAATAAATTGATGTCATATGCTTGTCACCCGAATTAATTCCACATGCGCTAATGTACATAAAATAATATCACAAATCAACATTCCGAATTAATTCCACATGCGCTAATGTACATAAAATAATATCACAAATCAACATTCTTATTTAATTTTTCATACTTTAAATAAAACAATTTTCCTTATAATCATTCTTTCTAAAATTATCTCTAAAGGTTTAAAATATTCATCGTTCAGGTTTAAATCTCATATCATTACTCATAATTAAATACTAAACGTCAATCTTACGCATGCATGTCACATGTGAATATGCTTAAGACAAATATTATATATTGGTCATGTGAAATTTGACTTACCAGTCTGAAACAAATGAGGATACTTGATTCGCATGCTTTCCTTTGCTTCCCAAGTTGCTCATTTGACTATTTGATTGTGCCACAATACTTTCACTAATGGTATGACTTTTGTTTGAAGCACTTGTTCCTGTCGATTCAAAATCGCCACAGGTTTTTCCTCATAAGTCAAATATTTCCTAGTTCCACCGGCATCATTGCTAGAATGTGAGAGGGATCGGTTACATATTTTTGGAGCATTGAAACATGAAATACATCATGTAACCGAGACAAATTCGCCGGTAATGTTAAACGATAGGCAACAGCTCCAACTTTTGCAAGTATTTTAAATGGCCCGATGTACCTTGGACTTAATTTCCCTTTCTTCCCAAACCGCATAACCCCTTTCCATGGTGAAACTCTCAAAAATACTTGATCACCAACAGAAAATTTTAGATCTTGTCTCCTATTGTCTGCCTAACTTTTCTGTCAACTTTGAGCGGTTTTTAATCGCTCTTGTATCACTTTCACCTTGTCCACCGTTACCTGCACTAATTCTGGACCCAATATCTTTCGTTCCCCTACCTCGATCCAACATATTGGCGTTCTACAATGTCGTTCATATAGTGCTTCATACGGAGCCATGCCTAAGCTAGATTGAAAACTATTATTATAGGCAAATTCAATCAAGGGTAAGTGATCATCCCAGTTACCCCTGAACTCCATTACACAAGCTCTCAACATGTCTTCTAAAATTTGGATCACCCTTTCTGATTGTCCATTCGTTTGAGGATGAAAAGTTGAACTGAACTTTAGTGTGGTACCTAGAGCTTGTTGTAAACTTGGCCAGAACCGTGAAGTAAACCTTGGATCCCTATCTGCCACAATCGACACCGGTGCTCCATGTAAACGCACGATTTCATCCACATACAATTTCGCATATTTCTCTAAAGGAAAGTTTGTTTTTACCACGAGGAAATGAGCAAACTTGGTTAAATGATCAACTATTACCCAAATGGAATCATGTACCTTCTGGGTTCGGGGCAAACTCACGACAAAATCCATCATGATATGTTTCTATTTCCATTCTGGAATAGGGAGTGGTTGAAGTAGTCCCGCAGGTCGCTGATACTCCGCTTTTACTTGTTGACATACCAAACACTTAGACATAAACTCAGCTATTTTTTGTTTCATTCCCATCCACCAATAAATGGTGATGGTGGTAGTGGTGGTGGTGGTGGAACGATGGGTGTGGTAAGGGGCGATAGCGGCAGCGGTGATGGTGGTGGCAGTGGTGGTGGTAGTGGTGATAGTGGTGGAGTGGTGGGAATGGTAGTGGTAGAAGTAGTGGTAGAGCGGTTTCAAACACTATTTTTTTTAAAATATATATAAGAAATGATTCCTAAAAATACTTTTAAAAAGTTACTCAAAACACACCTTTGATAACCTATTTTTCTTATTAAATTTGAGGTTTTAAAATTATTTGTCAGATTAATTTTAAAGTAAAATTTAAAGATATTTCAACCGCGAATAAAAAAAGTCATTTTGTTTATCTTTTGAGATTTAAATTGTATTATATTTTATTATATATATATATATATATATATATATATATATATGACTTAATCATTTATAGTTGTTGCATTTAAAATGACCTCTGTTCATGTTCAATATTAGAGTTCAAAATTAATTTAATAGTTGTAATTAATTAAGTCTCCAAATTAAATTGTTGTAACATTACTCAAAATGTATGCCACATAACATTGACAGGTACTGTTGAAAGATCACTTGTAATGCCTAAAATAGGTCCTATTATGGTATCGAAACATTACTTTGCAAAATCATACTTTTTTTTGTTCAATGAAAATGTCACACGTGTATAACTATCTTATTATCTTATTTTATTTTATTATTTTTTTTGCGTATCCTAAGCTTATAAAAGAACATTGGAGGGGGTCTTTATAAAGAGACTTGGACACAAATTTTATTCACAATAAAAGTATACACTATAGTCAAACACTTGCATAAAATAACATCTAGAATTGTATATTTGTATTGCTAGAAATCTTATCATTGGTAATTAAATTGCATTCGAGGTTTTAAAATTCCTGTCATCCCAACTAGGCCTCAAGGGTGGGGAAAGAGGAATCGAGACCCAACGTGGTCTTATTTTGGACAACCGACTACATTAACAAGTATATATCTTATACTTTTCGTATAAATGTTAAATATTTTTATGCCATACAAAAGTAACATTGTTTTTCATAAAGAATTTATGCTCAATTCTCCGAGTTGCAGAATCACAACTTTGCATATTTATTTATTTTTCTTTATTAGTCAAACAGGGTGCGGGTTTACTTTGTGGCGTTGTTTGGAAATGACAAGAAGTTAAAAACAAAAAGATTTTTACTGATAAAGGAGATATTCCATTACCCTATATTTGTTTTTTTTTTTTTTTTGATTCAACCGTTTGGAAATGTTTGCACCAATTTATATATACTGCAATTAATCATCTTTTTTGGCTTGATCAAAGACAACTTATATGTCGAGACTAAAGTATTCATGAAAGATAAATCTTTCATGGTCTGACTCTAAATAATTGTCAAAATTCAAATTCAAAACGTTTTAGATTTACAACTCGTCTTTATTATCCACTTGAAAGTTATTACACTATGCTTTACTGCTACAAAATAGAGAAAATCAAACGTGCACATATTTTCACATCATATGCAAAGAGATTATTTGTAATGATATCCAATCCAATACATTTTTCTCTACTCATCTCTAAGGTACATCATCTAAGTGAAAGCAATGCTATAAAGACCTTATTTGAAGACTTAATTTGAGAATTTAATGATGTGATTTTATATAATTATTAGATTAGTTGTGTTTTAATGTTAAAATGGAGCTCATAATCAATCCAATGATTGTATTGAATTAGGTCCCTAGATTAAATGTCTAAATTAGGATCAAATAACATTTTCTTTATAAATAAGGGTATTCCTCAAAACACATGACGACTAATTTGCTAAAAAGAGATACAAATAGGAAATGTATTCCAGGTAATCCAGTCGGTACTAGGACTTGTCGTTTGTAGTGGCAATAAAGAGGCAACCAGTTCCCCAATAATTTCCTTGCCTGGGGGACCAATAGTACACCAAATGCTGCTAATCAAAACCACCATCACACAACCAGTAGTCAGCTCACCAGTCAACTTTTGAGATACCCAAATAAGACTCTTCTCAAGGAAGAACTTCCGATGACTCAAAAATCTCCATGAGGTTCAATCCAATGATCTGCAACTCACATACTATCAACTATCATCTTCTTTTGTTTCTTCTTGTTGTGCACATAATTGGGTCTCTCTTACTTCAACATCGTGAAGGAAGAGAGACAATAACAATCGACAATGAGATCAGAGATAATGAAACGCTAGTATCAGATGGAGCCCAATTTCAACTGGGTTTCTTCACTCCAGAAGGAGTCCATAACAAAGAGAGATTCGTCGGGATATGGTACAACAGAGATCCAAGAACAGTTGTATGGGTGGCCAACCGAGATGATTCTCTCTCCGATTCCTTTGGAGTTTTTGGCATTGCTGATGATTGCAACCTCAAGGTACTCGATAGAAATAATACTTACTTTTCCACTGGCCTCGAAAGCTCTGCTGCTTCTAACAGGACAGTGAAGCTGTTTGATTCTGGAAACTTAGTTTTAATTGCTAATATATCAGGAAGTGTTTTATGGCAAAGCTTTGATCACCCAACAGACACTTTTCTCCCTGGAATGAACATGGATGACTGTATAAAATTGACTTCATGGAGAAGTGCAAATGATCCGAGAACGGGAAACTTTACGTTCGAACTAGATGAAGAACTCAGGAAAGGAAATATTTATGTCACCCGGAAAAGAACGACGACATGTTGGAAAAGTGGAGATTCAGGTAGATTCGGCAGCTCCAACGAATTGCCCTTTGCAGGAGCTTATTTGCTCTCAAATTTTAGCAAGAATGTGTATTATTGTTATAAATCTATTAAGGTTAGAGTACCCTCTTACAATAATATGAGGCTGTTGATGAACTCGTTTGGCGAGATACAATATTTCAGTTGGAGTAACGATAACAATAACGGGTGGTCGTTGATATGGTCAGAGACCCACGACCATTGTAGTATTTATAATGCTTGTGGCAGATTTGGGAGCTGCAATAGCCAGAATGGGACAGTGTGCAAGTGTGTGGCAGGGTTTGAGCCTGCTTCGCCTGAAAACTGGTTTGCGGGAGATTTTAAAAGTGGGTGTACTCGGAAATCTAAAATATGCAACAACAAAGAGGAGAGTGATATTTTTGTCAACTTGAAGAAGATGAAGGTTGGGAATCCAGACACGCAATACGAGGCTGCGGATAGTGAGAAGGCTTGTAGAGATGAGTGCCTTGGCAATTGTCTTTGCCAGGCGTATACTTATAATCCAGACGATGATACAAGAAGGGGAAGTAATAACAGAAGACATGGTTGCTGGATTTGGACCTCTGATGTCTTCCATGTTAGGATGATAATCGAGTCGTGTAGTATCAGATTCGTGTTGAGTTATTACGCGTTTGTGTCGAATATTAGTCAAACTTAACTTAATTTATTTAACTAATTGTATCGTGTCGAGTTGTGAGTTAATTTATTTATTTTCGTATCGAGTTCGAGTCGTGTTATCGTATTGAGTCGAAAATTTTTATCCTTAGTTAAGATAGAAAAAATATTTTTTTTAGTTTAAAATTTTTAATTTATTATTTTATATTTTATTTTTAAATTTATATTTTATTTTTTTAAATATATATGTACACATATTTTACCATTGTAATTTTATATGATATAAAAAGATATATAGACAAATAAGATATATCTCAACACAAATAATTAACTTTCCATATATTTTCCTTCCGATTTTGGAGAGATTGATTTTAGTAAGTTGGAAGGAAAATTAATCTATCTATTTTTTCATCCTTCTTACTTTGCTTCCTTACCAAACATGATATTTTATTTATCCCTCAAATTTTTTATCTTTTAAATTTTTTATCCTCTCACTTTTTTATCGTACCAAATGGAGCATTAGTGACACGAAACACAAATGCTTTCTTTCTTTTGCAATTTGTGGATTTGACTGTGATCAAGGAAAAATTTGCCATAGTGGTGAGAGAGAGACAGACAGAGAGAGGAGTGGGGCATTATATTGCATAATCTCAAAACAAGATTAAAAGTTATTGAAATAATTGGGATTACAGACATCATATTTTTCTTTAACAATGTCAGTGGTAATTTGTGAAAGTAGGGGATATACATAATATATAAAGAGAGGGTGATTGCATATGGGATACCCTTTTTACCCGTTAACATAAGGATAATCCAAACTAGACACGACTTAAACACGAAAATTACCCAACTCATTATCGTGAATAAATTAGTGGCTAAGGTTATTATTACTCACCGAAGAATCCATTTAGCTAGTATTGTAAGAAAACTACAATAGTTTTATTTGCTTTTTTTATTTGTTGATCTGTTGCTATCATATATTATTTGTTTTAGAACTACATAGTTTTGTACTAACACGAATATTGACACACACACACATAGTTTTGTACTAACACGAATATTGGCACACACACACATGATACGAATCAAAATAATACAGATTGAATATTTTTTGAAGTTTACATGGATTGAATATGACATGATTCAATATAACACAATTAAGATGACACAACGCTAACTTTTTTTTTTTGATCAAGGACACAACACAACTTGATTGACACAATAATTGCATACTCTTATACCTATTGCATTATTTGCAGAATTTACAGTAAGGGACTGTGAGCCTTGTGGTAACAATATAATACCCTATCCCCTAAGCACTGGGCCAACATGTGTTGATCCTCTGTACTACAGCTTCTATTGTGATGACTCCACCGGCCAGGTTCTCTTCCGGGCAGTTAGCGGCAACTATCTGGTTAGTAGTTTCGGTCCAGAGATACTTAGATTTGTCATAGAAGTTAATTCCCAAAACGCGACTAGTTGTGTTGGCCGAAGTTCAATAAGACAAGGCTTGCAAATCCACCCGTCGTCGCCATTTACAGTTACTAACTCCTGTTACATTGACCCTGCAACTTCTAGCTTTGATTTTCGAAGCAAATGAGGCAATGAAGTAGAGATTGGTTATGATCCACCTTTGGAACCGAAGTGCAATTCATCTAAAGACTGTAGGGGTTGGTCCAATTCAAATTGCAATGCAGGAAGAGACTGGGAGAGAAGGTGCTTTTGCAACCCGGACTTTATGTGGGATGGCTTCAATTTGACTTGTACTCCAGGTGTGCATACTCTATTATACTTGGATAAAATTATGTGCTTTGTGGTAAGGTGGCGGGCAGAATAAACAAGACAATATTCTAGCTGACGATAGTATTCGTAAAATCTAATAAAAGCTTGATCTTACCATTATATAAGCCATTAGACTTTGAATGGATTAGCTACTTGAATACAAAAATTTAATTGAGTTGAGTATTGAATTACAATTGTCTTGTGCTTTAGTTTCAGGAGGCAGAAACCCATATTACCAATCGAAAGTGCCTCAACATAGCAAGGCAGTCCCTCTGAAAGCCGTGATTATATCTACAACTCTGATTTTTCTGGTCATACTATTATTCAGCTTTAGCTATATTGTTTATCGACGAAAAACAGTAGCCAAAAGAAAAGGTGACTAACTAGCAGATGTTTACTATGCATAGAGATGTGTTGTTCTTCCGAGTCAATTTGAAAGGAAATTTTTTTACATACCTCGGAAACCAGAGAAGGCATGCGTGGGAATCCTTTAACGCACTTACATGACAGCGAGCGGCGAGTCAAAGACTTGATAGGTACAAGCCAGTTTAAAGATGATGACAAGGAAGCCATTGATGTACCTTTTTTTGATATGGAAATCATACTAGCAGCTACAAATAACTTCTCAGGTGAAAATAAACTTGGACAAGGAGGATTTGGGCCTGTTTACAAGGTAATCATCATTTCATCCATATCATTGTTCATTTTCAACTGCTATGTTCTTTATATAGTTGGTTGCCCCCTGTTGATCAACAACTCGTATGAAATTTAACCTCTTAGAGAGAGGTATAACATACGTTTATATAATATTCCCCTCACGTGTGGCCCCTCTTGGGTATGTGATGGTTTTTTGTTTTGTTTTGTGGAGTAAGGGAGGGGGTCTAAAGTGATTTGAACTCAAAATCTCATTCTGAACTCAGATACCACATTAAACCATCAACTACTATAAATGTTTAGGGTGTCAAGAGAGGGACGTAACATATGTATTTATCTAATAGTCTCCATCTAACAGGGCAGTCTTCCTGGAGGACAAGAAGTAGCTGTAAAGAGGTTGTCAATCTATTCAGATCAGGGATTAAAGGAATTCAAGAATGAGGTTGTCTTGATTTCTAAACTTCAACGCAGAAATTTAGTCAGACTATTGGGCTATTGTATCAAGGCAGAGGAAAAGATTCTACTCTACGAATATATGCGAAACAGAAGCTTAGATGCCTTCATATTTGGTCAGTTCATATGTTGGGATTTAATAACAATTTAAATCCACTAACAAACACACACAATCAAAGAACAAATCAAGAATATAAATCAATAAGAAACAAGAAAGAACAAGACACAGATTTTACGTGGTTCGGCAATTTGCCTACGTCCACGAAGCTGTAGGGATTTCACTATTGAGAGAGTTGAATACAGAGAGCAGCTGGGTATCGCTTGAGGGCTTCTTTATCTTCACCAAGATTCCAGGTTGAGGATTGTTCATAGAGATTTGAAAACAAGCAACATTTTGTTAGATGAGGAGATGATTCCCAAAATTTCTGACTTTGGCCTGGCAAGAATAGTTGTAGGTAAAGAAACAGAAGCAAATAACAACAGAGTCATTGGAACCTTGTAAGTCCAAGAGCTTTGACATTACTGTAGAAGCAAGATTGCCCTGTTTTGTCATTCATCACACAGACTTTGCCCTTTATGCATAAAAGGTCAGTTGTGACTAATATTTAGGGGTACAAATGAACTGATTTGTTTAAAAACAACTTGGGATCTGCTTGATAAACACTCTTTTATGTTTGTTCATTTATTAAACAAACCGACCTCAATCTCAATTTTGAAACTCATTTAAGGAACAAGCTGAGCCTGATTATTACTATTTGACTAGTTAAGCTCATAAACATACATTTATATGCACATACATATTACAATTTTATGTATTATATATGTAGTCTTATGTATATATATTATAAATGATAATTTTTAAATGGATAGATGAGCCGAGTTTGATTTTGAACATGAGTCTAAACTTGAATTTAAACTTCAGCTTAGTTGTGAAATCGGACGAGCTGAGCTCGAGTTTGGACACAAAATTATCCAACTAAGCTTGAAGATGTTTAGAATTCGTCACAATTCCAAGCCGGCTTCAAACACTCTTCATGAATGAATGAGCGGATCCCAAATAACAAAAGCTCAACTTAGCTATGTTCCTTTGCACCCCTATATATTCTGATATTCTAATTTCTCTTCCCTGAGATATGGTGCAATGCAGTGACTATTTGTCTCTGGAGTATGCATTAGATGGATTGTTCTCAATTAAATAAGATGTCTTCAGTTTTGGAGTTGTTGTCCTCGAGATTATCAGTGGAAAAAAGAACACAGGATTTTATAATTTTAAAGAAGCCAATCTTCTAGGCTATGTAAGTATTGAATATTTCTTCAACTTGATAACCCTATAGTTTTTTTTTTTTTCATAATTTCATGTATGGTTATTAAGGGTTTCAATTTTTGCACATTACCACAAACACAATACGACATGAATCCGAATATGGCACACCCATACTCTATGAGATTGGTTAGTGTTAGACTTGAATAACCCATTTAGTTCGTATTACTAACACAATTTCTTTTTTTCACTTAATCTTTGTGTTGTATAATTTGCTTAAAAATTGAACAATTTTTATCATTACACAAACTTGAAATGACACGATCCGAAATGACATTTAGTGAACATGATGACATGACTCGATTGACATTTTCTAATTATTATGATGGTTGTTAGAGTATGTGTGACTCATATTTGCTGTGTGCATAATGGCAAGGAGGTAGATGCCGGAGCGGGATTTATATAAAGGAGACGCTGATTAGTTGGGGTGCGGGGGCAACGCTCCCGCGGTACGGTACATGGGTATTTTTGTAAATACGTCCGTATTAGGGTTATATAAATACTTAAGATGTAACCCTACTTTGAATAATGTAAAAGAACGGCCGCTCGCTCTCGTGGAGGTAGGCACATTGCCGAATCACGTAAATCTCTGTGTGTTATTTTCTCCTGCTTTCTTAATTGTTTGATTCCTTACTATTCACCATAATTGCTGCACGATCACAACAATGGTTGTCTCAGGCTTGGAGATTGTGGAACGAAGAGAGGGCAATGTATTTGATGGACCAGACACCCCCGGAATCAAGCAGTAGAAGTGAAGTTTTGAAGTGCATAAATGTTGGGCTCTTGTGTGTGCAAGAAGATCCCAGTGATCGACCCACCATGACAAATGTAGTGTTAATGCTCGGCAGTGAAACTGCAACTCTTCGGAACCCTAAACAACCGCCTTTTGTAGCAAGAAAACTCCTTTCCAGCACACCTTCTTCTTCCTCAAGTAAACCAGAAGCACAGTCCAATAATGAGTTGACAGTTTCTCTTGGAGAAGGTCGATAATGGTGTTCTTGATTTATGTTCTTCTTTATCCAGGCTAAAACAGTTTTACTGGCCAAGTTGTGACATTTAGACAGGCGCATTAGCTATTCAGTTTAACATCCTCTCATAATAAATATATACCCAATTTTTTTTCCCTTTGTTTCTGCTTGTAGAAACAAAGATCTAGTCTACTCCAAAAGAAAAATGAAGAAGAGAACTATTAAGTAATTGGTGAGACTCGATCCCAAATTTATTTAGTCAAACAAATCCTCTTTGTTTCATGCTTCTCTTTAATGACTGCAGATTGTACTTTCTTAATTTTATTTAGTACTTAGGCAGTTGGGATATTATTTCTTGGGACAGACTAGGCAGTAAAATCTACCAAGCTAGTCAAATTGAATCAATATTTAGTTATGCATTATCTTCCAATGCCCAAGAGTTGTGTTTATCACATTACAACTCTTATAGTTAGAAAACTTAAACACACTAAGTTTGCAGATCAACTTATCAAAACTTTCCTCAACTAACTGAAAGTAATGTTAGAGCAAAAATGAGTTTTGGTCTACTTTGAGTCAAAATGAGAGTGAGACCCATTCATAATTTGGGATTGTTCTATGTAGCAAATCATTTTCCTCCTTCATCCACCACATGATCAAGATAATTCGGATCCTGGTTGAATGAAAATGTGAGGCTGATATGATAGAAGTCTCGGGTATTGTGACAAAAGTGTGCCGCACATATGGCTAATAATTGGACTGTGTTACTCGAGCTCGACTCGTTTTGGACTTGGTTCAGGCTCGTTTAGAAAAACAAGTTTAAAAGACTCAGGTTCGGCTCATTCTTTAGACAAGCTAAACTTGAACAATTTTTTAAACCCTACCCATAGAGTAACATCTTGGTGATTTCCACTCTTGTAAATGTTCTTGTCCCTTCGAAGCATCACTCATTTCTAGCACTCTCCATGGTTCAAATTAAGATGGCTGTAGTCTTTGCTCCTACTTTTTGAGATCGACCACAGTTCTACATAGATAGTCTTTTATAATAGTCTTATTTTTTAATTCTTTTCGATGGTGGGGTTTTTTTTTTTTTTGGGGGGGGGGAGGGGAGAGAGAGAGATTAATCAACCAGGAAAAAGAAACATAATTAAAAGAAAAACATAAAATAAACAAAAAATAAATAAATAAGAGATTCAATTACACCGGTACTCTATTTTCTAACAATTGCAGGGGCCATCAGTGTAATTTATTCAAAATAAAAATGAAAATATTGCTCAACTAGGATATCTCTTTCTAATACTCCCCAATGCTTCTTCAAAGGCTTACAGACTTTGAAACTAACGAATTCCATCATCGAGGCCTTGGCGTGCTAATTGTCATATCATTGTTGGAACAGCTACCGGCAGCCTGTGAAGAAGTAGTAGTAGTGACACTCCTGTGAGTGGAAAAAGCAGGTTCTTTGGGTGAAGGAATTGATGAAACTTCATTGCTCAGCATGAGAACTACACCAGACATTGTTGGTCGATCGGTTGAAATTTCTTGAACACAAAGAAGCCCCACATTGATGCACTTCACAGCCTCCTGAAGTTGGCAGGTACTCCTTATCGATGGATCGATTACCTCAGAACAACTCCCATGCCTAAGAAAGGATTAAACCAAAAGTTTATAACTCATAATTTTGTATATACAAATTAATCAACATGACTGAAAAACATTAAGGATGCTAACCCATCCTAAAAGGGTCAGAGAGAGTTCAGTGGGATGGAAATATGTGTTCCTTATACCGCTCACAATCTCTAACAATAAGACCCCGAAGCTGAATACATCAGATTTCTCAGAAAATTGCCCATACAATGCATATTCAGGCGACATGTAGCCACTGCACCACCAAGTAACAATAATTGATGTTATAGCAGCAACAACAGCAGTAACATAAGCTTATCTTGTGATAATTCATGTACTTATTACTTACTATGTACCAACCACTCGGTTGGTATTAGCATCATTTTGATTTAGCCTAAAAATCCGTGCCATTCCAAAGTCTGAAATTTTGGGGGTCATTGCTTCATCCAGTAGAATATTACTTGCTTTCAAGTCCCTGTGAATGACTTTCAACCTAGAATACTTGTGAAGATAAAGAAGTCCTTGAGCAATTCCTTCTATAATTTGGAAGCGTTTATTCCAATCCAGATTTGCTTGCTCAGAAGGATCTGATAGAGAACAAATATTTAGTGGACAATCAGGAACTGGAAAGCAGAGCCTTCACACATCAGGGATATATACTATGAATACCTTAAAATAATAGCTTTAAGAACGTTTTGAGGAAATAAATAAGTACCAAATAATAATTTGTCCAGGCTTCGATTGGACATGTACTCATAGATTAATATCTTTTCCTCCCCTTCAACGCAACACCCCAAGAGCTTGACAAGATTTGTGTGTTGAAGTCTCGCAATAAGTTTCAACTCATTCATGAACTCCTCAAGTCCTTGCAATGATCTCTTCGAGAGCCTCTTAATGGCTACTTCGCGAATTTCAGGCAAAAACCCCTGGAAGAAAGTTGATTTGTGGCCATCTAAAACCCAATCCAAATTGAAACTCATTTTACAGCCAAATTGAAACTTTTACCTTATAAACAGGACCAAACCCTCCCTCTCCAAGCTTGTTTGCTTCAGAAAAGTTGTCTGTAGCTGCTAATACATTCTTTAAATTGAATGACAATAGCTCTGTGTCATTGTGCCCAACTCCATCTGTCATAAACCTTGTAGAAACCCCAACTATATTTCCAAAGGTCCTTTCTGTATGAATAATGAGTCATCAGTAAAGCAGAACTATGCATGAAGCATCTTGTTAGTGTGCTTATAACTTTTGTTTGTCCAAGAGAGAGAGAGAGAGAGAGGAGGGTGGGGGTGGGGGATACCTTGCCTTCTCAACCTTTTGAACCACAAGACATAGCCAAAAACAATAATAAGAAGCAATCCTATAGAAAGGGCTGCTGCAACTGCAATCAGAATTCTAGCTTTATTGCTTGAATTGTTTTTCCTACCACCTGCATTTAACATATGAAGCAAATTAAATTATCCCATGGACATCGAGGGAACAATGCACTTAGCCGACAAATCCCATCCAAACCATTTCTTGAAATAATGCATACAAACAGGAAAAAAATATAAACATACCTATTTCAGAGACATGAAGGTGAACATAGAGGTCTTGGCCAGTGATGTAGTTATGTGTAAGATCCATCAAATCTCCAAACCAATTCAAGCAATTCACTGTTGGTTCTCCACTCACATTAGCATATGCATAAGCTGTACAAGAGCAATTGCTTCGGCATTGAAATTCACATTCACTAACACTCATATTCGCTAACGAGATCGAACCATCCGGAAGTTTCATCCTTTCCAACTTCAAAAATCCATCTCCTTTGTCACATTTCAGTGCCTTTTTTCTCACACACCCACCACTCCAATTTCCGGTGACCCATTCTTTCGGAACGTTGGGCTCGAAACCTGTCAAACACTTGCATAATGAATGGGAGCCATTTTGCTCACAGCTACCAAATGGACCGCAGTGTGCGTAGAATTCGCATTTAGTTTCTGGCACCTGCCATAGAACTAACCATGTACTGCTACTCTGCTGCCACAGCAGAAGCTCAACTTGACCACTTGGCGTTAATACGAGCCTTATTTTTTTTAAGCTTTCAGAGCCACCGTAAGTGATATAAATTTCATCACCTTCCAAAGAATATGTAAGATAAAGTGAAAAGCCGAGTGATTTAGCAAACACTGTGGAAGAGGAACTACCAGCATAGACATTGCTTCTCCAATAAGGATGGTGTTGCTTCCAAATGAACATTTGTGCGCGCCCCTCAGAATCTATGCCAGCAGAGAATATTCCTGGCGAAGGATCGTCATCATCTGCCCATGATGTGACCAGGCTTCCTTGGCCGGTTGTTCGGTTTAGCCGGAGTTTCATGCCAGGCATCAATGTATCAGTGGGATGTTCAAAGCTCTCCCACAATACAGTAGATTCACCTCCACCATGTCTAAGCTCAAGGTTTCCGGTATCCAATAAAACCCCGATAGTGGATTTCACACCAGAATCAGAAAGGGCAACACTTGATGACCAAACAACTTCTCTTTTCCCATCTAGAAGGACAAGATTTCCATCCTCACCAAGAGTTAAAATGGCAGAAGAATTTTTACGAAGTGGAGATTCCCTATTTGCAACCCATATGACAGTTTGATTGGGTATTGTATTATACCATATGCCAAGGTAGGTAAAGGTTGAATTTCCGGGAGAGAAGAATCCTAATGCAAAGTTGCCACCAGCAGATGTGATAGTTTCGTTACTAGTGATTTTTTTGCCTGATGTGATGCTGTCCTCACCAGTACACAGAGGCAGGTGAAAATATGACAGAATTGATGTAAGAACCAACAAAATGCACCACACCATTGATGGCTCTCTTGAGTCTTGCTGTGAGCGTCTCCAACCCACTAACTAAATCTTCATTGTTAGCTAATTTGGGGGGTTTGTTCAAAAATACTGCTCCAATCGGGTAGCCATCTTCCACTAGAGGAAACTAACGAAGACATTTGAGACCCAATTTCCATGTGGTGGAAAACTAACAATTATTCTATGTTATCATTTAGTGGTGGGAAACGTTTGGAAGAAATTGATACTCAATTTCCATGTGGATGCATTGTATTTTCTTTGGTATTTGGCGGGTAATCATTGTTTTTGTGAACAAGGGGATCACCAACCACTCACACTGGACAATTAGTGACCAGCGGGAAATCATTGAAAATGGCACAAATCTACCTAGTTTATTAATTTTTGTAAGGGTTTGGTAATCATAAATCTTACCATAAATTAGATCCAGCCAATTATATAGGGTGTATATTGGGTAGTGGGTTAAGGTGGGTTAAAATATATAAGGATAGTTTAATAATACAGTAAGTCTCATAAATTGGCAATTGAAAAATGAAGGAGGAAATAAATCTCAAGTCAAACCTTGACCCGAATGCTATAGAATTTTTTATCCAAGTACTTGGGTTAAATGTAACCCACCCCTCATGGGTTACAATCCCACCCACCCCCTCTTTTTGATATATTTTTACACCTCAAGGTATCTCAAATTCTTACTCAAATTTTGATTTAAATTTAAATTTAAATAAAATAATTTAATAAATTTACTCTAACATTTAACTCAAACTTATATTAAATCAAGGAAACTCATTATTTTTACTCAATTAAGGGAGATTCAAATATAAGAGTGTTCACTTTACCCTATGGTTAGAAAATATAATCTTTTGTCTTCCTACCCAATACTTTGTGGAATAATTTTTTCTCGGTCTACCCTACCCGATCAGGTGTAATATTTTTACCCGATTAATAGGGTTGGAAGTCGGGTAAACACTTTTGTAGCTATTAATTTTGGATCATTTTAATAATTCAATTAAATAACATATATCAATTTAACAACACAATAAATTAATAATACTAAAACTTAAAAAAACTGCAACAACAATTATAGTAAAGTATAAGAATGCATGAATATCAATTCATAATAATTGTTGTACAAATACAATAATAATTATTTTAAGTTTAAATTATATAAAATACATTAAAATTATAACTACTCCAATAGATCACTAACTCACCACAAATCATGTAACTTACACAAAAAACAAGTTCATATTTTTGCAACTCAAATATCTACAACAATAATAATGTTATAATATAAATTATACCACACAAATACTCTTATAATTACTAAAAAAAATATATAAAAAAGTTATATATATATTTTTTTGGGTAGGATAGGAGTATAAAAATTGATGGGTATTTCGCATTATTATCCGATTTATCGGAAGACCAAAACACTCTCGCATTTCTATTCGATTTTTTTGACTAGCTGATCAGTAAGGAAGGGTAGAAAATTGCAGCCAATTAGATATTTGAACACTCTTACTCAAATCTTTAATGATGAGATTTTACTATGTTTTAAAAATTCAATGATTATTTTTATTCATTTTTAAATTTGAGTTTGCTCTAATTTAAATTTGGGTCTCTCCTTATTTAAATTTGAGATTGTCTATATCAAATCAAGTTTTTTATTCAAATGTCAATTTAATTTTTAATAAAAATTTGAATAATTGTTAGAAATGGGTAAGACCCTTCACTTTCATCCAAGCGGCTCAGCTCCAAGCAGGTCAGCTTTTTGGTTTTGGTTGGGGAAGACGTTCATCACATGCGATCGTCGACTCATGCGAGGTAAGGTTCTTCTTCTCTCTCTCTCTCTGTCCCCCTAAACTTCTCTCTCTGTCTCTCTCTCTGGATCGAACGCGAACAGATCTGATTCGCTGAGGTTCGCTGAAGATCAGTACCCATTTCAGATTTGCTAGAGGCTCAGGAGCAGATGTTTCATTCTTGGACTGGCTACCCAACAAAACATTTTAGTATCATACCAAATTCCTGTAGCATTTGCGGTGTTAGACTGGAAATGGTTCTGTGATGTTGTACTGCTTACTGTGCTGATTTTTTGGAGGAGGGTACTGATCTTCTGGCTTTGAAGACCTCAATTATTTTTTTGGGAAGAGTTTTTCTGGGAAGAGGCTGGTGCCTTCTAAGCTTTTTGAAGGATTAAAGCCATTGAATGTAAATTTGAAGAGTTTGATTGCATTGATTCTTGTAATTCTTTGGTTCAATATATAATATTCTTTCTTTTAAAAAAAAATATATGTGATGTCTTACAAAAGGAAAAACTACACACACAAAAATACAAGACAGAAAGAGAGAAGAAAAGGAAACGAAAATGCACACACACGTATCTCATCACAATAGTAAATTGAACCATAATAAAAGTCTGATCTCAAAAATTATAAAAAAAAAAAATTATGGTGCAAACAAAATATAAAATTTATATTTCAACCCATAAAATTCAATGGTATAATACCCACTGTTGTCAGTAACATATTCTTGCCAACCATTACGAGAAGAACAAAAGGACCAGTTTGTCCCTAAATTCAGAAGATATAAATTTGAGTTATTTAATCTAAAAAATGGCAAGTTTTTTTTGAAATACAGAAATGGGGGAGGGGGCGACCAGCAAGTAGTGACCTCCCTGAGCGTGATCACGAGAGCCTCCTCTCTTCTCCTCTGATGGGGAATATTCGGTTAGTCATAGTTATTGACTTTTTTTGGAGTAGTCCGTCACCACATCACCAACAAAGCACTAGTGAGTAAGATAGGAGGACCCTGTGGATCGAACCCTGCTTTTTAACCTCGTGGGAGTCATGGTACGACCCTAAGATGGAACTATTTTACCATTAGATCACCAGCTCCGGTGGTTAAAACAAAAAATGGCAAGTTACATGACCAAATAATACAATACCAGTCCTCTTTGTCTTTTCTCCCTTCCTCTCCTTACCGGATCAAATGCACAAAACCGGTTCCCCCAATTTCGTCCTCTTCCTCTCGGTATTTCACTTCATTACTTATTCTCTATTTGACTCTCACCAGCGCGACGCCGAAGCACACTCCAGCGCACCCCGCGCCCTAGCTCAAATTGATGAAATCAACAGAGTTTCAGTGGGAGGGAATTTGGTATAGCAGTAGTGCTCATTAGCTTCTTCATGAATCAATCCCCAGAAAAACTTACCATGAATTTAGCAGGATTTTTTGGTGGAATTTCTCATGTTCAATTTCACGGTTTTGGGTCTAATTTCATGATTTTTCAGTTGAATTTCTCATCTTCAATTTCATGCTTTTGGGTTCAATTTCATGGTTTGAGTTGAATTTGTGTCATATAACTTCATGATTTGTGCTAAATTTTTGTCATTCAATTTCATGATTTGGTTTGAATTTTTGTTGTTTAATATCCTGCTTCTGTATGCAATTTCATTCTAGTTGTGTTGTTTCCAATTGTTTGGTGGTTAGCAAAAGCGTTTACTTATCATTCACCTAATCCAATGAACCGATTCATGGTTATTTGTACTCCGGCATCATGGGTGTTTGATGGTGATTTTCAGGTGGGGAATTTGTCTGTGTAGAGTTGTGGTTGGATTTGTGCAGAATACCAGAGGAAATGAAGATTATTTTTGAGTTGTCTCTGTATTTTGTGGTTGGCTACTATGACCGTTAGAAAAGATAGAGGGTGCTTGCAATGGTTTTTGGAGGCGGGGGGTATTGGGTTGGAAGATGGAGCAACTGGGTTTGGGGTTAGTTGTAGTGACTTTTTAGTCAGTTTTGTGGGTAAAATGAAAGTAATTCATTTGTCTAGAACTCTAACAATGGGCAATTTGGAGATTTTAATGTCAAAATTATTCTGACATAAGTTAAATTAGACGGTCTTTCAAATGGGACCCTAACGGCAAGACCCTTTGCGTAGCGCACAAATTACAAGAGGTGTTAATGTAATTATTCATACTTGAGAGAATTCTTTTGATTAAGTAATAAATTTTAAAGAATTTGAATGTAATTTACCCTTTATTAATTGGATGTAAACACTTCGAAAATTTTTACCTAACTCCGTAACGCTTAATTAATTTGTTATAGAGGTCCGAGCTCCAACCTCCCCGAGTAGCCTAAACGGAAGCCAACAATATGCATTGTTATTAGGGTTTTTTGGGTGTGAGTATTTTTTTTTAGATTTATTTGAGGGGAAATATATGAATAAGTTATTTATTCTATTCAGTTTAATTTCAACAAATATTTTGTGATTAAGTACAAAATTCAAATAACATTTTATTTATTTTACTTATCATTCCATAAATTATGCAAAGTTTTTATTATTCACTCTCTTTCTCCCTTTAGTTTTTACACCGTAACTCTCTCTCTCTATATCCATTACTTTTTGTCACTCTCTCTCCCTAGTACTCTTTATCTCTCCCCTTTTTTTACTTTCACTTTCTAAAATTTATTTCTTTTCAAATATGTAAAGATTTAATTTGATTTTTCATCTCTTTTTTTCCTCTATTTTTTTCTCTCTCTCCCACTCTCTTTCCTTTTATTTTTTTCTCAATGTTACTATTTCTCCTTATCCTCTCCTTATATCAACCTTACAACAATATAATTACACCAATCAATTATACTAATCAGTGACAATTGTCCTATAATATACTAAACTGTTATTCATGTATTTTGATACACCAAACAATTATACAAAATTACGATATTAATCCAATTTGTCACTCAGTTGTTTACATAAACTAAAGAGATACATCATTTAGTATCACGATATGATTACACCAATTATACACACTAATTTTGGTGTATTGGTAAACTCTTTTGTGTAATAATAAATATAATTTGGTGTATATAATTGGTGTAACTATGTTGTGATAATAAATGATGTAACTCTTTAGTTTATATAAACAACTGAATAATAAATTAAGTTGATGTTGTAATTTTGTGCAATTATTTGGTGTAACTATTTGATTTATTAGAACGTATGAATAACTGTTGTATACTGTAGGATAATTATAACTGATTTGTGTACTTGTGTTATTGTAAGGTTGATATAGAGAGAGAATAAGAAGAGAGAGTAACAGTGAGAGTAAATAAGGAAGAGATTGAGAGAGAGAAAAAAAATAGGGGGAGAGAGATAAAAAAATTAAATCAAATCTTTACATATTTGAAAAGAAAATAAATTATCAAAGGGGGATCGAGAGAAAATAGGGGGAGATAGTTGAAAAAATTAAATCAAATCTTTATATATTTGTAAAAAAAAATAAATTATCAAAGGGGGAGAAAGATAGAAAATAGGGAAAAGAGAGTAGGAGATGGAGAAAGAGAGTAATGGAGTAATGGCCTTTTAATCTTTTTCCAAAAAAAAATACACTTTAAGTCAAATAAGTTTCTTTAATATAGATTAACTCAATTAAGCCTAAATTTTTATATCAACTTCCAAATTTTCCTTATTATTATGCTAAAACTGAATATTTATCTCTACCTAAGAATAGGGTGAATTATGGTCCTTTCATACATATTACTTGTTTCTCAGCCTCTACCAAAAAAAAAAAAAAAAAAAGGAATTTGGTGTGTGTGTGTATTTGTGCATGTGAGTGAACATGGTCTGGCTTTAGTGGATTCTAGAGGAAGTCAATGGAACATATAACAATAAAATAAATGAAAAATTGCAGCTACTCTTTTTTTAATTTGAAGAACATTTCTTTTATTTTTTAAATTTTCATTGACACCCAATGTCAGATTAAAAGTGTTAATTATAATGCAGTTTTACTAAATAGCTTAGGATATAAATTTTATAAAAAATTTCATTCACACCTCTTCTAGATAGATATATCTTCAATAAAATTTCCTCTATTTTATAATTCTTTTACGTATTAAAATTCGATTCGAGCTAAAATTTATTTTTTATGTATTAAAATTCGAGTCGATTAAAAATTATATTTTTTTTATGTTGATTAAAATTCTACTTGAGACGCAAATCAAATTTTAATTAACTTGTATTAAATTTTAACCCGTCCGAATTGTGATACATAAAAAAATATAAATTTTATTTTTTTCAAATTTTAATATGTAAAAAATAAATTTTAATGAACTTAAAATCAAACTTTACTAAATAAAAACATAAATTTTAATCGAATGGAAGCAAATTTTAATCAAGGTTAACAGTTCAAGTAGAGTTCAAATTGACTTAAATTTTAATACGTAAAAAAAAAAGATTTTTAATAGGTTCGAATTTTAATAAGCAAAAAAATAAAATTTAATCACCTCAAATTGAATTTTAATCGACTCAAATTTTAATATATAGAAAAAAGAATTTTAATCCGCTCGAATTTTAATATATAAAAAAATAAATTTTAATCGACTCGAATTTTAATTAGAAATATTGTGTTAAGGTTTATGTAGGACAATTTTGGTATTTTAGATAATTTATTTTTGTTATAAATGGTAGTTTAATGACAGATAGTGTTAATGATGTTTAAATATAAATTAAAAAAAGTGTCAGTAATATGTTTTATAATAAAAAAGATGTCTTTATAAATATAATAAAATAATAAAGATAAGATTGAATTTTAAATAATCAAAAACCCAAATGATGACGATGACAATGACAATAACGATAACATAAGGATAATAATGTTACCAAATTTTGAACGTGTTACGAGTATGAGTGTTCCTATTGAGTAAATATTAATAGTAACGGTGATACTAGATTATTGTTATTATATAATATTATTAATTAATTATAATAAATATAATTGATGAATTCTATTATTTTAATACAATGAAAAGTAGTTATTGATAATTAATAAAATAATGAATTCTATTAAATTTTTTTTTTTGGTCACATAAAATCCACTAAATTTACTTTGCATTTTATTATTAATCATTAACACCACGTCATTACTTCCACGTAATGTCAATTTCACGTCCAATATATTTTCCAACACTAGCTGTACCAAATCTAACCCCTTACCTTTGACGGAGTGAAAGGCTTCTTCTGGGAAAGGGCGAGGCAATTGCAGTGTTGCGAGAAGAATCAAAGCCGACCAGCAATAGCTGTCTGTACATTGGTTGTCATCCAATGCATCATTCCTGACACTCACGTCAACCCTGAACCCCCCCTTCTCCTTCCTCGAATCCATTCCCATCTTTACCAGTCCCACCTTCTATTAAACCCTCCTGTACCCTCCAATCCATCCCTTATCTTTCTGTCTCTCTCTCTACACCTCTCTACAAACACTCTTTTAACAATGTCAGGCCCAAAGGGTATTGATGATTTTCAAGATATGTTGCCTATGATGGCCAGTAATCTGGGTGGGGAGGGTCTGATAAAAGAGCTATGTAATGGGTTTCGGCTGTTGATGGACAGAGACAAGGGGGTCATCACTTTCGAGAGCTTGAAGAAGAACTCTGCTTTTCTGGGGTTGCAGGATCTGAGAGACGATGAGCTTTTGAGTATGGTGAGAGAAGGTGATATTAATGGTGATGGGGCTCTTGATCAAATGGAGTTTTGTGTATTGATGTTCAGATTGAGTCCAGAGTTGATGCAGGAGTCTGAGGCTTGTGTTGAACACGCTCTGCAACAAGAAATCATGACTTCTTGGTTTGATAGGAACTGAGGTCAAGTTGATGATTTAATACTTAACTGTTCAATGCATAGGAGGCGGGTTCTTGTTGAATTTGGAAATAATATTGGTTGACAATTTTTTTTTTATTTGGGAATTAAAATGCTTGATCATGTTGAAAATCACAAAGAAAGTGTAATCAAATTTGAAACTTGCATTGGGTATTTGATTTGGTTACCCAAATTTACAGATGAGATTAGATCTTTCTGCTGTTCATACATGTTTTCTAGTTTCATATGTGGGATCAGGATGCATTTGTAAAGATTCAAGTTTTTTTTTTTTTTTTCCAATAGTACAAAGAGTCTGGTCAGTTCATGGGGACTTGGACAAATTTTTTCTTTTGTCCGATCAAAAGCAGACAACGTGGTTAGAATTATGGTATTTTCGAGAGAGAGATCAGTAGATTGTTAAAATTTAAATTCAATATATTTGAATTTATAGATCATCTTTGTTATTATTTGACCAACAAGATTGTAGAACCACGGTTTTAACTATAAGATATCAAAGTGAATGGTTCTCTCTCTCTCTCCAATTCAAAGAACCATGTGTTGATTCCCTGCTGCAAATTTGTCAAGTCGATTCAATGAATCCCAATTCATTTGACTCCCAATTCATTTGAAGTATGCCATAAGTTGACTATATTGTCTTTGTCTCGTAACAGTTAAAGAAGGATCCACATGATGTTGGTGAACCCGATTTAATTTACAGATTATCAATCAATTCAAAATCTTTATGATCCAAGTTCTATCAAAATGAAACTATATACAATCTAATTCTAAAATGTTTCGTACAAAAATAGACTAAAATATGAAAAATTAAAACAAATTCATCTAATTTTTGCATCTCATTATGGTTAAATGGATAATTTGCGTCAATTAATTGTGCAATTTTTAAGTTTGTACATATCGGGTTCATGTTTTGTTCTTTAAAATTAGTAAAAATATATAATCACTTGAAATCTCAATATGAAGTATTTTTGTGACACGGTTCTCCTATCTCCATGACTCTCAGACCTCGACTTTAGGGGGATTTCCTTTCTCTTAATTCACCTTGATAAAGTTTGTGTTGAACAATAGATATTTTGGGGTTATATAATTCATGAAGGATCGATTAATCTTGTCCTAGGAAACACAGATACGGATAGGAGATATGAGTACAATATAATATGAAAACAAAGATACGACAAATCTTAAAAATAGGATACATGTATGGCCTGAATACATTTATAAATATATATATTTTATATTTTTACTATTATGTAATGATGTGATAATTATAACATTTATTAATTTTTTAACAATAATAAATAACATTAATATTTTTTTATTTTCAAAAAATTACCTATCGTCTCACTATGGTACATTTACTAAAGTGAACGTGATTAATTAAATAAATAAGAACCAACATTTAATTATTTTATTTGATTAGAATTATTTATTGCTAAGATTATAGAGTAATCAACTCATTTAAACTCTTTGGATATGTGATAATAGATAATACTTGAAAAACACACATGTGTCTTCCAAGTTATATTAATTTTTGTTAATGTATTATATTGTATGTGAAATTAAATGGAGGGGATAAAAATTAAAATTAAAAATTCTACATAATTATCTCCATATAAAAGTATTCACAAAGTATCTATATTTTTTATTTATTATTAAATACGTTTAGTATATTTCTGATACATATTTTCAAATTTTCGATAAATATCATATTCAATATAAATATGTCGACCTTAACGAAGTATTCGCGCTCGATAGATTTTGTCAGATTGATGAATATAATCACAGAGGATGCAATGTTTCATATGCCATGTTATTCCCATTCTTCAAGTGGCTTGACATTTGACCGATTTGTTCCGCAAACAACGTAAGTCGTTCGTTTTTTAAGCTGGAAAGTTTAGCTCATTGTTTTTGAATAATTACATTGATGTATTCAAGCAGTCGTTGGAGGCATTCATTTTTGGTCCAATTGATCCATTGCATTAAGAACCCACCTCCTTTGTTGCCAAAACAGACCATCCTGTCATTGTCTAATCACAGTTAAGGAAAATGGTATTTGAACTTAATTCGGTACCTAATTTAATATAATCATTAGATTGATTGTGGACTCCATTTAACATTGAAACTCACAACTAATTCAATTATTATATTAAACCCACATCATTAAGTCCTAAATTAAGTCTCCAAATAAGGTCCCATAGCATTGCTCCACAGTTAAAGATCAATGATCAACATGATGTTGGTTAACCCGATTTAATTTACAGATCGCTCATCGATTCAAAATCTTTCGGATCCAAGTTCTATCAAAATCAAACTATATATAATTTGATAATGATGAATTTAAATTTGGGTCTCTTCTAAAGTCTAAATAATAACGGTAGTTTTTGCTTGGTTTTTAGTCATAAAACAAGAAGAGACCCTCTTTGCTCGCTTGCTTTCTGTTTGAGCAGTCTCTGAATACTTAGAGATAAAATTATATAAGATTGACGAGCTGGATAATGGAGACTGTCACTAGCTGTTCTCAGGCCGCTCGAGTGGTTTGCAAACGGCTCGAGCAATCTCTGTTCCACTGATTTGGGTTGATTCATTTTTTCATTCCAATGACAATCGCCTTCTAACCACTCTCTCATTATTTAAGCGGTCGTTCGTGAATTCTGATTTACTTGGACCCTTTGATTAACTTAATTTTGAACCTATATATAGGAAAAATCTTCTAGGGTTAGGGTATCTCTTTTGTGAGCTGATTTTTTGCCTCTTAAAGAGATCATAGAACAACCCTAGATCCCTAAGGTCATTCATCTTGAATATTCAAATCAATCTCACATCTTAGAGAAGAAGTTCTTGTTTAGAGTTTATAAAATCCATTGAAGGAGTGTGTATCCCAAGGATCTTGGTAGAGAATATCACTTGAAGAGCCTAAACGATCCATTACGGTGGAGATGTTCAAGTGAAGCTATTCATAACTCTGGTGGATGGAATTCGGAGGAGAGATTTACTAAAGGAAATGAACATTTAACCATCATATTGGTTGAAGTATAAAACTCGATTTCTTGTAAATCAACTTTGAGTTAGGGTTTTCGGATAAACAAATTATTTGTGTCCTTTATTGCTTTAAGGGTTAATTGCACTAGAGGTCTCGAAAATATGAAGTTTGTCTCATTTTGGTCCTCAATGTTTCAATTGCATCATTTTGGTCCCTGCAATATTGAATATGTTTCTAAATGATCTCTTAAACAGACAACGTCTAAATTACTAATAATTTTTTATCATAAACTTGTCACATAATACATAAATATAGACAAAAACATAATTTTAATAACTCTTAAAAAAATTTAGGAAGCTCTTGACAAAAAATGTGTAATATGAGTAGTTTTTGACCAAAATTTGGATAGCTTGTGATCAAAATTGTGCAATTTAAATAGCTATTTAACAAAATTTGTGTAAAAATTTGGTCAAAAATTATCTAAATAATTTTTTTGTTCATATTTGAGTATTACGTGACAAGTTTATGATAAAAAAATTGTTATCAATCTGGACGCTGTCTGTTTAATGGACTATATAGAAACATATTTAATATTTTAGGGACCAAAATGATGCAATTGAAACATTGAGGACTAAAATGAGACAAACTCCATACTTTGGAGACCTCTAGTGCAATTAACCCTTGCTTTAATTTTTGCACACACTCTAGCAATTGTACACACACTCGACATGTGTTTGAATAATTGATTGTCCATCTTTCTATTCACTAAAAATGGTTTTGTGAATTGTTGTTTTGGTGGGATGGAAGGAAAATTGAATTGGTTGTTGGGTTGTTGATTGCATATGCATTCATCAATTCATTTTCTTGTTAACTTGTTTTTGAGTTGAAAATGGGTTCAAAGGGATAATTGACGAATCTATCTTTGAATTTGATTATTATGGTAGATTAGGTTAAAATTGGTAATTGTTTGAACCTTAAAGTTGAATTAATCTATTCATCCCTCCTTCTAGGTTGTGTCTAGCGATCTCACGTGTATAACCGTGAGAGAATATCTATTGGTATCTATTCACATACTTGCCGAATTTGTAAAAATTCCCCACTAGCTATGTTAATCGAGCCAAATTTTAACATGCTCATATTTGGCTCAGTTGTAAATGATTGAGCGTGATTGGTATGTTGTGCTCAAGTTCGGTTCGACAAAAATTTGGGAGCATTCCACTTGAACTTGAGATCTATTTTTTGTTAAAAATTTTCAAACACAAAACTCAGAATTGAATAATCAATCCAAAACTAATCAATTAGTCAATTAAAATCTCTCAAAATATGTTAACCACAAAGTCAACCCTCTAAATTCAAATTTTTTGAAAAATATATTAGAGAAGAGATTGAAAATGAAATGTACACGGTCTCAAGACATTTTGAGCATAATTTAAAATTATTCATTTCTTAGGTATAGTCTATTTGATAATAAAGTTAAATCATTTGGACAAGAACTTACTTGGGTTGAGTAGAGTTTACTCAAGCAACAGTTATACATTACAAAGGTACGGCTTGTTTAAGAAATAAGCATTGAAATTTGATCAAATATATTTCATTTATTTTTGCATAGTAGAGCCACACTGAACCCCTATCCCTATAGAGTAAACCCTTAGCGCATGCAATCACCCGCTAACTATAGTAAAACTCAAGAATTAACGATGAGAGTCGAACCTAGTACGACCGAGTTCACCGTTTGCTCTAAATTAACCTCAGACTATTGAACTATCCGTGCAGGTTGGGTTGGGTTGTTTTGGTTTTCTTTCAAACTTTGAAAAGGCCTAAACAAGACAAAATCGATCCGACCTGAAACTCCTCACATTTTGGGCCTGTTATTGGAGAAGCACTTGGACAAGCATGAAGCATCTGAAAAAATGACAAAAGAATTTGCAGCCCATGGAAATATGGATCGAACTCCCAGAAAAGGTAACACATGGCCCAACAAGAGGTGGGCTTAAGGGTCATATGGGCTTTTTGTTGAAAGCCTTTTCCATGTGGATCTACTGGATCACCAGCCTGACCATTCATGATTCTACTCTCCACTAGATGGCCTCGAGCTGGCCCATCTACATGTCCTGTGTCCCACTGGAATTCAATCCGAATGCTTTCGCTAACTATTAAATTACTAACTCATTTAAATGTTTAAATTATTAGAAAGAGTGTAATACAAATATTTATATACTCAAATACGATATTTATTTGCGGACTAAATTTTGAATCAAACACGTTCAAATTTTCATAATTATCAGCATGACGACGATATTCAAATTTCGGGTTTTGTGCTCTAATAGCATGTTAAACCACCGACGTACATTCAAGGGATTAAAGGTTAAGACATAAGTATTTTTATATACTTAAACAGCATCATCCACAGTCCACACACAATAAAATTATTAAGATGCCTTTGGTGAGACTTGAATTTAGGATTTCGATATAGTAAATTCTCAACTCTTCTTGTTTGAGCTACTAAAATCAATTGTATATATAGTTTGACAATTTTTCTAAATCGATATTGTATATAAGTTCTCAGCTCTTCCCGTATTTTTTAAATGATTATGTGAAATACTGATAAATCATGCATATGTACTTTGACAATTTCCTAATGTTAGAATCCTGCCAAGGTTCTTTTAAGTAAACAAATTGAATAGTAATCATCAAAATTGCAATAAATCAAAATTGTAATGGCCATGGACCTCATAACTTCCCGTCTTTCGCACCAGATGGGCGCTCAATGAGGAGACTCATTGCTAATCAAATGACAACAGTGTACTAGATTTTTAAATTAGATTTTCATATTAGGTTATAATTACTCTTTTTTTTCCATGATCACAAGCTCGACAAAGGTGGACTATGGTCAATGCAGGGAAAGGTATAGAAGGAACGAGAGAGCTTATCAAAGATATTATTGTTTGTAGTAAAGAAAGGGGCCGTGACTCACATGTATGCATGCATACTCACCTCTTTTGTAAAATCCAGGAAGGGGACAAAAGGCTATTAAGGAAAGGGCCCAATTATGCTTCCCTCTCGTTTCTCTTGGGGATCAATAACACGAGACATATTACACCATGCACCTTCCTTTTCTAATGCATGTTTGGGGACCCATTACCCCCGACCATATTTCCATCTTTCAACTCTCTCTCTCTCTCTCTCTCTCTCTCACACACACACGCGCGCACGCACGCGCACACACACACAGTGTCTCTCTCCCTCTTGATGGAATGGGTAAGTTCAATAAACATGCCCCATTCCTCCTTGGGTTTTGCATCTCTTAAGAAATACTCTTGTGGGGTATACCACATATATTTTAGCGGTTGAGATGCTCTCCACTATATTTCGCTCAATTTCATTTCATGATAGATTATGTGCCTCGATTCAAGTAGGATCTATTTTTGAGTAAAGTTCGGTGAAAGTATAATAGAGATGATTTGAGTTTAGTATATTTTTATTACATGCCCACCACCATCTCGGTAAGTAGGCAGTTTTTTTCACATAAAGTCAGGTGATCCACACATTTCTTACTGTTTTCATAGGAAGATTTAGTCATCCCTAATCCCCATACGAAGCAAGTGGCTCATTTTTAAAACATGTTAGGCTAATGTTTTATTTCTCAACTCATTCATAAATGTGCTCCCCCATATTTTCTGGATTCTTGCTTCCTGTCTTTTCTCCTCTTTGGAAAGTTAGCATGGAAAATTTTAAAAAGCTCCATCACAGATTTAAGCTCAAGGGCACTGTCTCCTTCATGGCCAGCACCAATCTTCTAAAAGGCAGTACTGATATTTTTGCGCACTTTGCGGTCAACCCAGTGTTCTCCACAATGGTCCTCAGATGTTGCCCGAATAAGCTGCATGAAACGATGGACAGAAAGCTCTCTCTCTTTATGTGACTGGTGATAAACTACACATATGGTCCATATTACAAGAAAATTTTCTAAAGTTTTTGTAGTTAGATTATGCTATTAAGGACAAGGTGCCAAAAAATAAACTGTCATGGAAAGAATGATGGTTGTGGATAACAATAGAGTAGTATTGCACTAGAATCACAAAAAACAGTAAACTTTTTTCATCCGTGTGTTGATCCATCTTGTCATGCTTTTCAACTATATTGGTTAGTGTTGTCCCCCCACCCAAACAACATCAGCCTGCCAATAAGCAGTGGAGTAATGTTAGATGGACTTAAAATGTAAACTTAAAAATTAGACTTGATAATCTCAACCATTGAATAGGTAATGGGTCCCAATAAATGCTGGACTCACAGTGAAATTAATGGTTCTAATTATTAAATTTACTTTTTAAGTCCATGTAGTATTGCTACAAAGTTCCAAACAAATTGCAAGTTGTCACAATTTTTTTCCAATACTGGCCCAGATAGACCATGTACCGACAATTCTATATTGCTGGAAAATGCAAATGCTAGAGCTTTACCTTTTTTTTTTTTTTTCCCGTCATGGGAAGTCAAAAACTAAATTTTGTGTCTTGTTTTGTTGAGAAAATTTCCATATTTTGTTTCTTTGGAATACCTTATTAGTAGCGTTAATGCATCAACTTCTATCAGAACTTCATAATTAAGCGTGCTTAAGAAAGAATAGTATTAGAATAGGTGAATCTTGGAGAAATCCTCCTGTTGCAACAAAGAAGTCATTGGACATGTCCCAGTCCATTTGTTCTCTTACGTATTCCTTTTGTGAGTATACTTTGAGAAGTCATTGGACATTTTGAACTGTGTTGTGTATACAAATTTTGGATCAATAAAATAATTTTTATCCAAAAGGAGATGATATTAAGAAAAAGACCAAATAAGTAATAGTTTGCTCATATCTTGAAATGCATAACTGCATTTCTGATATGAGTTATCATACTTAAAGTGTCTCAAAAAAATATTTACAAAAAAAAAAAAAAATTACATGAAGCACCACCATTATTAATTTTGGGATTCTTTTTTGTTAGTTATCTGTGATTGGTATGTAAAGATAAAAAATTTGGATTCTTAACCCCAAGGGATTAGCCTAGTAGTAGTTCAATTACTTGATAAATATCTTCACAAGTGTAGGTCGGGGGTTTAAATATTCCATGAAGCGCTCACTCTTTTGAGTCACTGCTTATAAATTTATCCTCTTGTGTGGAGAATTAATTTTACACAAAGTTTAAAATTAGTCTCGTGAGTGACCAAGATAACATACTGTTGTGATTTACCATAGTCGGATTACCAAAAAAAAATCTGGATTTTCTTTGAATCAGGGATTTAGAGTTGACTGCAGGAGCTCAGAATGTGGGGTTTAATGATGTAGCCGTGGACAACTGGATCCCAATAAAGTGAGTTTCCACTCTTGATCTGAGTGAGATTAGTTAACAATGACAACGAAAAGAAATTGATTGAATAAAAAAATCACATAAAATGCCACTTGTCCAACAATTTATTATTCTGATGAGAGAAAAAGCCAAAGACAAGGACTTACTTCCACAAATAATGGAAGATCTTGGATCAAATGGGAGCAAAGTGCAGCAGGAAAGCAGCAGCAAATCTTTACAGATGGGGGGATTTACACCGTGTTTTTAGTAGTGGGATTTGCATAAAATCTTGTAACATTTTCAAAGTGATCATCACTGTATTCTACTACTTTGGTATCACCTTTGTTAGGGCATCTGAATCAAAATCAAAATTACCTTAATCTTTCGATAAGAGATAGCAACTTTGTTCACACTTCCCCTCATGTGTGACTCGAGCTCGCATCCAAGCTAACATATCTGGTCGAAAGGGATACAACAAGTTCAAATAGATAACGAAAGTAACATAAGTTTTTAGATGAGCTAATATATCATGGAAGAGGAGATTTTGAATTCCAATCTCGCTCTCACTTTGATGATCAAAATATTTGTACATGCACGGCCTCAAATCTAGCAGCAAGTGAGGAGATAGGGCCTACTCCACCCTAGGCAATTGAGGTGGTAGCTTAGGGCTCTCAATCACCTTAGACATAATTCGCGTACGTCTCTTAAAATCATATATATGACTAAAATTTTGAAAATATTCATATAAAAAATTTAGGATATTACGTCAAACAATCAAAAAATTTAAAATTATTTTTCTTTAAATCATAAATATATTTATATTCAAAAAGGAAAAAAAAAAAGATCGTACTATGTTTTTATACGAAAAATTACAAAATTATACTCTCTCATTTTATTTGAATTCTCAATAACTCTTAGGTCGTATTCTCTGGCTTTCACCATCCATTTTTCAGTTGAATGGGATTGTTATGTTTGGCATATGGAGCAAGTAGTAATACCAACGATACACCATAGAAATATGCCCATGGCTCCATGCATAAGCTTGTGCATTCGCGAGTTCACACATGCACAACCTTGTTTCTCACGTGTCCTTCATCTGAACATTAGTGTCACACAACACAACATATATAATAATTGATATGGGATTAATGATCTTGTTTTGTAACATTTTGCTTAACTCTCATATATAGGAGAGTTATGTTGGAATAAATTAAGTTTTTTTTTTATTTTAAAAATGGTTCCATCTTTCATCTTTTTCTTAAGAGATAGTTAATGTTTTGGATTATTTTATACCATGTACATGTGGAGGAATTCTTCATGAGATATGACAGCTGAACTTTGAAACTTGAATTCAAGTTTGGTTTTTTCAAATAGTTGCAACCTAATTGAGCAGTCCAAATCTTCCCCAACAGTATTTTTTCAACTGCTATTTTATTTCCACCGCTTGGATAGCCACTGCCTATATAAAGGGTGTTCTTCTGTAATTTTTTAAAAGGAAAAAAAAAACTCCCAGCAGCCTTTTAGCCTTTGGTTTTCATTTGAGGAAAAATCGACAGAAACTTTTAAACTCTCAAAGGCTAGATCTTTCTAATTTATTTTTTATTGTGATCAATTACATTTGTTTAATTATTAGTTTTTAATTTGATACATGTGTCAATAGTTATATTATATGAATCCACAACATATAATTTGCTATTGTCAAAAATAGTTTATCAAGTTGTTACTGTTTCACAAATTTATCCATTATTTAGTTTAATTAGTAAATTATATGTGTTAGGCTTATGCATTTAATGTTACTAAGTTGGTGATTACTTTGGTGTTTTGTTCTTTCACAAGGACAAAGTCA